CAAATAATGAGGGAAAGTCATTAGATTTTTGTTAATATTTTATTACATGATTTTTTATATTAATAATAATTATGGCAGTCGTCCTTAATGTTTTTCATGTTCTTATTCCAAAGTTTAGCATCTGTACATGTTGCCCCTCACTGTTACTGCCTCTGTCTCTATTTTCCTCACCTCGTAATTTGAAGCCTCAATCAGAACTGCTGTGGGTTCAGATAAAGTAGTATCATATTTTCAAATATGTTCCCCCCCACGCCCCCACCACCACACACACACACACACACACACACACACACACACACACACACACACACACACACACACACACACACACACACACACACACACACACACACACACACACACACACACACACACACACACACACACACACACACACACACACACAGACCACTTACACTCACTTTTCCTATACTTTCACAGATCCCTGCAACACAGATTTTATTCAGAGATATAGCAGCTATAGTGATATATTATTCATTTTGAAGTGACTGATGCAATATGCCTGCAGAATGCTCCTGAAGACAAAGTGAAGATATTTGAATCCACATAATTACTACATTCTGTGCCTGCACCCCTGTAAGTTAAGGCCTGTAGAAAAATATTAAAGCTGTTCATAAAGAGGAGTTGTCTAGGCTGTGCTCATTTAGTTTCTTGTTTAGATGAATAAGATTTATGTTCGTTGAACCTTGGTGGACTCAGCTCCCATCGAAGCGGTAAGTGAGTTCCCCCAGTCTGTTTACATAATGATAAGAAAGGAAAAAAAACAAGTTTTGTCAAAGCAATCTAACACATCCAGATCTACATTAAAACACAAGGTGCATAAACAAACAAAATCTGAGAGAAAAAGTTCAACAAATAATGATAAACTTTACATTTGGTATGGTGTGTATGTTTTATGTTGTGGTTTCCATGTTGTTTTGTTTTGTTCATTCTTCTTTTTATTTTTTGCGTTTTGTTGAATGTGTTTTTAAAATGAGTGCAGATTTGCGTGTGTGTATGTGTGTGTTTTCTGCTTTGTTCTAGTGTTGAAATATATTTGTGGCCTCAGAATTGGTGTTGCCTGTTCCGTTTTTATTTCTATAACAGAGCTGTCAGCTGCTGAATCCATGTCTGGAAGACAGGAAACCCTCCATCACGTGCTTTCCATTTCTGCTCCTCTTCCTGTCCTCTCCAACCTCATTTACTGTCAACATCCTGCCTGAGCACGGAGAAACATGGGCTGCTCAGAATAGCAGCTCTGCTGAGACGCTGTGAATGTGTCAGCAGAGTTATGGGGCAGGTGTAAGGAAAGATGCAGCATGAGCAGCTGGGCAGAACACATCATAATGTGATCACCATGTGTCAGGGCGCTTTGTGTTCTCTGGTGATGGGTTTTACGTTTGACCACTCCCTCGCTCTGATAATGTGTCCGTATGCATGAGTTGTTTGTCAATATTAAGCTGACAAACGCCTGTTGGTTGATAAGATTTATCCATAAGCAAAGGTATAAAATCATATAACAATTGTTGTGAGTCCTCTTGAAGGGCAGAATTAGAGAAAAAATATATCATTGAAACTGTTGCCTTTTCTGTTTGTCATAGTCATGTTCCTATTTTCATCAATACGCTAGTTCATTTGGAACGCTGATGCCACGGTGCTGACAGTTTCCTAGTTTATTGTGTTTGAGCTATTGAGGCATTTACAAATTGGAGTTCTGAATGGAAAATACTTTGCACCTAATCTTGACAAGATAAATGAAAACAAATATCCAAAGAACACTAGGTGTAATTTGTGAACACGTGTCTGGACTCACATTTCCGCAACATTGTATGTACAGCATGCTGGCTGAGTTGCAATGTCAGCTTGTAAATTTCTCCCCCAGTTTGTCCACAAGTAGTCTTCTGCCTTTCCAATCAATAGTTAACTGTGTGTAAATCACCTGCTAAAGTTGGCTCACCACTCTCAGCCGTTGGGAACATTTATAGCAAGTACAGACTTTCAAATGAGGCTGAAGTAGACGGATGTCTCAGTTCTTGGATATGTTAAAGCATGCAGCAATTACGAGGTGGATATCTGATTTATTATTTGGAAACTGCCCCATTTACCATTAACTAATCTTTTCTGGCTCATTTCATTTGTGTTGTGTTGTTCCATGATTGCATTTATGTGTCAAAAGGGTAAGCAAGTATACAAATGTGTTAACGAAGACCATTTTACTTTTTAAGGATCTAACCACACAACTTACAATATATAGACTACACAACTGTGTTCTTTTATCTCCTAATCCTGCCTGCTTGCTGGTGGGAGCACAGCAGAAATGCAGGGTTGGTTTAACAGTAGGAATGTGGTGTGTGCATGCTTTCCTGATGTGTGGATCCACAACATTGATCTCTCTGTTTCAGAGCAGTTTAGATGCGGACAGCACCAGTCCGATTGTTTTCACATGCAGGGAGGGCTTTAACAATGGCCATGATCTCCTTTGGGGAAATCATCTTTGAATGTTGGGACTTGAAAAATACTAGAAATAATACACTTTCTCCATTTCGACAACAAATATGGAAGTAGAATGACACAATGTACAGTAAACCGTATAGGCAGTATTTAACAAAAAAATATATCAAAGAAGTATTCATTTTCACATGTGCCCATGGGTTAGTGCCTTCCATACCCTCTAGACCCGACACAAAGTTTATATTCAGTCAGGTGACATCATGGCAGTTAAATGTATCTGTACAACAGACTTGTCTTCATGTGATGTGTTGCATCTCCTTGTCATTTTCATCTTTGACAGATAGGCTGCATCTGTCAAGTGACATTTGTTTTAAACGCACCCTACTCGCACTGTGAGCCAATTCTGATGCAGACACTCATCACAGCAGGAACCTCTGAGGCGGGCAAAAAAATGTGTGTGCCACTGATTAATTTCCTTTCACAAATCAAAAGACAGGTTTTGACCAATTCAGTCAATGAGCTGCATAATTATAGTAGGACGCTTTAATAGACTCCCCCAGGGTAACTGGGAGATGTTTGAGCACACCTCAGGGATGAGCCCAATCAGCTTCCCCAACCTGGTAATTACCACAATCCAATTAAATTTTCCATGTTAAAGCCCTCTCTTTATGCTCCAAGAGCTTTCAAAAGAGGAGCTTCATAGATATATTGGAACCATAGCACATGAAAGAGTCACTTCAAAGGAAACAACTGTCTTCTTAGTGAACCGAGGTCTGCCAGGTGTTGAACATACTGGTCACGACACATGCAGAAATATGTCTGAACTTATCTACATATATGAACATGCGCTCAGCTTCAGGATGTGCAAGCCAGAATAAAAGATGCGAGTGTCCCTAGTTGCCATGGGAACATCAGCCGTGCACAGCTGATTAGAAATCTCTTTGATGATGAAGTGGCTTTCTGAGTGTGTGCAGTGAGTAGAGATCCGTCAAGGTTGCGTGTGACCGAGACGGCGCGAGAAACAAAAGGGAACAGAATGCGTCGCTCTCTCGCTTCATTCAAATGTTAACATGCTTTTTGCCGGCGTATAATGTGTTTTGAAAGTCCGGAAATTTGGTAGACAGCTTTTAGAAGTGGGGCAGTGGATATGTTGCTAAAAACTTCAGCGCTTGCAGTGTAACTTCATCCAAAACACCAGATGGTCTGAGTGTGTGCTCCCTGTGTGTGTGTGTCTACTATGTTAGCCCTACAATGTGTGTGTGCGTGTGATTCCATGTGTAGATTCTGCATTACAAAACGCCCACGGAGTATCTGAGACGTAAACACAGAGGAGACCATCGGAGGCAAAGGTTTGGTCAGATGATATGTTTTTAATATCAATAGGGCATTCTGAATTGAATTGAAACATAGATGAAAACATGTTTCTTTAGGTAAGGATCATGGAGACGTTAGATATAATTGCAGCCTACAGCGAAGAAATATGAAGCTGTTTCATTCTTCATGTCATTGTTTACAGCAATAAGCAGTCCTTGCAACCATTTTTCTTGTTTGTATTTTTTCCAGAGCTCTTTGCTTTGTAAGGCCCATATCTGCATTCGTACAGAGGCATGGTCCTCCTCTCTTTTTATCTCCTGCTTGTTTTATATGCTGTCAGGGACCCAAGCATATCCTTCCATCTCTAAGCTTAAGAGATTTGTTTTCTCTCTGCACCCGTACGCTCAGCTGAAAGACGAGACATGAGACTCACTGGTGCGCTTTACGGGTGAAGTTCAGTTAGTCTGAAACAGGAATTCATCGACAAACATCATGGACACTGTCATAAACGATCAGTCGCTGACTGCCTGTGAAGATCACGTGAGCTGGTCTCAGTGTGTGCCGCGTGGGGGCCACAAGATCTTTCTGCAGCTGCTGTGACATAAACCTACTGTACATTCTGTGTCTGTATCCAGGTCCATTGTTTACTCTCAGCAGAAATAGAATTAACTGTTGCTACTGGAATAGCTGTGTCTTGGAAACATGATTTGAATGCATCATCCATAGTACTCAAGGCAAACATGCGGGGCACTTATGAGCTGTGTTGGAGGTGACCTAAAAGAAATATGATTTACTGTCCGATGAACTCTGGAAAACCTTTCGTCAGACTTAGACTTCAGACTGCAACCTGTTTTCTCATCAATGTTTTTGGCAGAGCAGGTGGAAGCGTTTTTTTTAGCCGGACCGGATGATTTCTAAAGTCTTTGCAAATTATGTTTTGGTCAGTACACTAGATGTGTCCTGTTCCTCAAGGCACTGCAAATTCACCATAGTCAGGCCAGACATGGATGTAATACAGTTCCTGACATTTCTGTAGCAGATATATATTCATCTTACATTTTAAATTAGAACAAGCCATTTCTATACACATGGCATTTGTAGAAAATTCAGATGTCAATTAACCTCACAAAACCAAAATGCCCCATTCAAAATAAAAGTAAAATGCCATCAGGCTCAGGTTTATTCAGTGATTTCTTTAGTTGGAATTAAAAGACTGACGTTAACATACAGTTTTGACTGTTACAGTTTTCCAATTCTTTAGTATTTGACTAAAGTAAAATGAGCTGAAAAGCAAACAAAAAAGCAGGACATGGTATGAATGCTTCAAATCATCCTGCACGACCTCACATCTTGTCACTTGGGGTTTCCCTTCACAAAAAAGAATGCTCCTGCTGCAATTTCAAGAAGTCCAACAACTATTCCAAGTACACAGAAGATAGCCGGACCTCTGCTCTTCTCCTCTGTTTCAACTTCTGGACAGGGAAGGAGAAAAATACTTTAAATGTACATCACAAACAGGCCCTCAAATGACTTGAGAAAGTAGAGAATTTTACACCTCATGTTGCTAAATGACGTGTAGCTGTTGATGTTCTCACCCCAAAACCTGGTCAGAAGCTCCTCCAGTGCTTCATGCTCCACGGTGCAGCTGTAGATGTCTCCTTGTTTTGGAATAAAGTTCAGGTAGGAGAAGACATGGAACGTCCCATCAGGATTGGCGATAGATTTAATGAAAGCATCTTCCACTGTCACCTCCTCATCATTCTTTGTCCACTTTATGTTGATTAAAGGAGGAAAGAATTTGTTGGTGAAGCAGATGAGGGTATTATCTTCTTCTTCTATCACTTCATCTCTGGGGTAGATGACAGTTTCTGGTGGTTCTGATGGTTAAATTCGACAATCATATTTTAAATACTATGTCATTTCATAAGATAAAAGGAGAGAAATAAAGTGTAGTGTTCCTTACCTTTAGTCCTTGTAGCTGTTTTGTCTGGTTTCCATCTATATATATCATGTTTACACATTAATCTATATCTTTGAGCTAATTCATATTTCAATTTATTACGGGCAGTTGTTTGTATTTTGTTGTCACAAATATCAATTTCTTTTTTGAAGTCTGCATAACAGACTTCATCATCATCCAGAGTTATAAGGAGCTGAGTATCACTCGAGTCCGAGCACCCGTAGGTGTAGCAAAGTTTGTGACCTGCCAAATGAAGCAGCAACAAAAGCTTATACAGTAATGTCCAAATATTCTTGTGTATGTGTCAAATGCCATATGGAAATGTTCATACTTACTTTCTGCATTGATGAGAACTGCTCCTGAGAAAATAAGTACAATTCCAAAGTGCATTTTGTTCAGTCTTATTATAGTGTTTTATGTCCCGTGTTTTAAGCGATACTTGTCAAAGCCGACTGGTTAGAAGAAAGCTTCCTTGTTTCTCTGTATGAGATCAATATTTTTGCCAAAGGATGGGAAATGTCGGAGGAAGACCAGATTCGTTGAAGCACTTCCTCATAGAAAACCAATGACACAAGAACACGGTAAACAACATTAAACTAAACTTATCAGTCTGTATTCCATACAGTTTTTTGTTAGTTTTCTGTTTTTACATGTGAAATCTCTTCCATACAATATATTTTATATTTTCTTTGTTTTTACTTTTGCTTCAGGGTCTGACCTGTATTCAGCTTTAGTGAGATTCATTTGAAAAGTAAATAAACAGTCCTCCATTTGGATAAAAAAAAGTTTAAATTTGATTTATACCATCCAAGCATTAGACTTATTTTTTTATTTTTTTATCAATCTTTTTTACGCTATGAACCAATCAGTATGCTTAAGTCACAAGTTCACTGTTGCTGAAGGCCAACGCGGTATGTCAATAAAAGACACATTTTGTGAGAGCCAGTTGATTACAATGTCAAATCTATTCACACGCCTTTATGTTGTCATTTCTAACCTTCACTCATGACCACACAGCAATCAGTCCATGGATTGTTACAATATAGTAACGTCACATAAAACGTATCTGTTGCTGAGTGCCGGGAAACATGCAATAAAACCAGTTTCTCTTGTTTGAGGCCCAATGGAAAAAACAGAAGTACTTGTTTTCAAGAAACCAAAGTCACAGTATACTCACTTCACATTTATCTGTTCTTCTGCTTTCAGTTGAGGGAAATACAGAGGACTGAAAGATAACAATGAGCTCAAAGCAGAATCCTCCTTTTTTGCTTGTGAGTTGCTTTGGAGTTTTCATGACTTTACCCTGAAGATTACTCAATGTATTTAACTTCAGTTACTCTCACAAGTATTTTTTTGGGGTCTTGTTCATTGTTTTTTTCCCCCCATTGTTGCCTAGAGCACGTTTTTCTGGTATTCTAGTTTTTCCAGTCTGATCAGCTGTTCCACATGAGTTCATTCAGTTAAGTGCAATGCACATGCATTCTCTGCATTGGCTCTCCTCTCATCACTCTCCACTTTCTGAGTTTCACGTCATTTTAGGTTTTACGAAAGCTTGGAATTTGTTAACATTTAATTTTGTTTATTTGGTTTTGGTTTTCTAGCATTAAAATCTTGCTGCAATTAAAGTAACAATACATTAGAGCTACCATTGTTAGATTATTTACATATACACAAGTCCCCTGAAAAGGCAATAAAGATGTAATCGAAAATCTGCAGAAATGTCAAAAGCAAATCAGTAGAATAACAGTTCCTCAGTGATCTGGTGTCCGAGGGTGTTCCACAGAAAAGCAAGTGTATTTCAAAACAAGTCCCATTTCCTGAGATTTAAGGATCACAGACTAATATAGGGTTATTTTAATAAGGTCTGGCCCTTAATTCCTAAAATATTCTTCACTCATTTATTTTAACCCCAGTGGACTGCATTGGCAATACAAAATCCACACATCAGCATCCCAACCACAAACCTCTGAATAAACATACAGTATTCAGAGTATCATGGACGGTTTGTGTCAATGGTGATGGTGTTCGCTGAAGCTGGACTGTAGGCGACTCCTGGTGACGAAATGTGTTCCACAGGGATCAATGTTCCACCTGAAAAACAAACGATAGGAGCTTTGATTTATCACCACTGCATGCACAACTCTGTCCTGGGCACGTGCTTTACTGTCCTCACCTTGGCAGACGGCACTGTAAGCTGCACGCCGTTTTCTGTAGTAAATGAATCCGGATGTCACAATTACAGACCCAAGCATGAGAAAACACAGCCCAACGATGATCTGAATTACTTCATCAGCGAGAAGGGAGTTGTCTTAAATAGAGAAATCAACAGATGATTACAAAATCTCGTTTTTCGTTATCTTTACATCTCAGTTTATAAAATCCATGACATACAAACTCACCCCAGACTGTGACTTTTGGTTCAGAGAGGCTGGCATGTTCAACCGTACAGCTGATTGTTTCTCCAAAAGTTGGAGTGTACTCCAGGTAAGAGTGAATCTGGTAGTACAAATCTCCATCAGCCAGAAGGTCAGAGTACATGACCCCTGAGGTCACTTCTTGCTTGTTTCGTGACCATGTCATTCGGATTTGTTTTGGGTAAAAGTCATAGGCACTGCACAAAAGCAGAGCTGGGTGTCCACCATCAGGCTGCCTCAGTAATTTGATGCTCACAGTGGGTGCTGTAGTGAGATTTCCTGAAAAGAATGAAGTAACAATTTTATAGTTTATAGAGCTATCTTTTCTCTTTCTTTTTTTTTTTTTGTTCACATATATATTTTATAAAGGAAAACATCTTGTAGGAAAACATACGAATGAAGTACAGTATCAGTCACTGCATAATTTTATCAACCTAAACATGATGAGAACAAACACGGTTTCATCTTTATTTTCTGAATTAAAATGTATTTCATATGAGCTCCATTCCATTACCTGTCTCAATAATATCAGTGAGCATTCACAAAACAAAAACCTCACAACTGAATATACTGTGCAATCATAAATGTTAATGCAAAACCGAAATGAGACATCAATTGATATTCTGACAAATGAATTCTCCTACCTAGTGATTCGATGGATTTCACATTGTCTTCACAAAGCAGTTTCTTCTCAAATATTCTTTCAAGCCGATCATAGGGATCAGCGTTCCAGAACTGCGTTTCATAGATAGAAAAAGCTGTGAATCCAGTCCAATTTCCTCTTGTGCTGTTGTACTGCATCATGATATGTTTGTTAAACGAAGTTAAAATGCTATACTCTATGTCCTTAGACTGTTCACCACTGTAGGCACAACATGCCCTGACTTGGTAGTAGTCTTCATCTGAGAAAACTGCAAGAAAAGAAGGAAAACCGATCAATCTCAAATTATTTCAATAACTGCCACTTTTAAAGTTTTGCGGAAAGTTTATGTTTATAGAAGTAAAAATGTTATGACTAACCTGAACTGAAAGTAGAGAAAACCAAAAGGAAATGAAAATTCAGAGCGCACATGTCTGCTCATGAGTTAGAAACCACTTTAGCAATACTTCTCTTGTCTACAGGGAATGTGCTCATGGCTATGAGGAAATAAAAATCAGCTTTGCTGGGCGTCAACAAAGTGAAAGAATGCCCTTTTTGATCAGTTGAAATGCCCTCTTTTTCTTACAATAACCCATCAATTTTCTACAGGTGAGTCATTTTAATGGATGACTTTCATCATCTTTACAGTGAGCTAATGTTGATGTATGCCTCTGCAGAGGCCTATTTGTCTGTGTGCTGATATGGCATGTGGTACATAAGGCCATCGACCATGTTTATTCAAGAAAGCAAAGAACGATTCTGGAGACCTCCTGAAAAGGGGGAATTTAATTGTTAATGTAACTTTAACATGTGACGTCTTTGTCTGAGAATTAAGAGAAAGATAACAATACTGGGAGCAATTTCTGGGGATTGCCAAGACTTTAAAATGACATATAAGTATGGGTCTACTTGAGCACTTGTTAATCCTAAAATGCCATATGTATCATACCTCATACATACAGTTTCTTATGTATTTGAAACCTTTTCCATCATTTAATGGGGAACACTTTGCTCAAACCCTGATGTACACAGTCAGATTTACAATTACATCAAACATTATGACTGCCAGAGGGAGAAATCTGATAAAGGATGGAACAAAGAATGATGAGGAGGTGACAGTGGAAGATCCTTTCATTAAATCTATTGCCAATCCTGATGGGACGTTCCATGTCTTCTCCTACCTGAACTTTATTCCAAAACAAGGAGACATCTACAGCTGCACCGTGGAGCATGAAGCACTGGAGGAGCCTCTGACCAGGTTTTGGGGTGAGAACATCAACAGCTACACGTCATTTAGCAACATGAGGTGTAAAATTCTCTACTTTCTCAAGTCATTTGAGGGCCTGTTTGTGATGTACATTTAAAGGATTTTTCTCCTTCCCTGTCCAGAAGTTGAAACAGAGGAGTCATTTTTTGGAGCAGTAGCACAGTTACTGCATCTGTCCTCTTCTGTGTATTCTTCTTCATGTAGATGTACTGTACCTTTATCTGCTGGTGTTCACACTCTAGATTTTTCTCACAGCTATTGATTTGTTTAATCTTGATGGTTATTAAAAGATGAAACCAGAAATCTGCATGGATCTGCTTAGATGAGGTTCCCAAGTAATATTTATTACTTCATTAGTACTTAAACACTGAGCATCATAAAAGCAGAGGTAATATTAAAAAAACGAGAAACATAAGTGGTCTAATTAATTTACCTCCACCTTTGCCAGGTTGCCCTTGCGTTGTGGCAGTCTGACAAAATGGAGAGTAAATATCCATCTCCTGACATACTTGGCTTCTTAACACTCCTAGGCAAATTAAGTGTCTTCTCACACTGATTGTATCATTAATTCATCTTGTCTAAGCCTGTCGTCTGTTTAATAAATATAAAATGTTTTGCTTGTTGTAATTTGTAGCTGATCGTTTCATTGCTGCCTTTAAACAAAGCAGTACCTGGTATGCACTCCAGAACGCTTGATTACTCTGATCAGCTAATAAAGCTATTATAAATAGGAATGATCAGTATTAAATTCATCACTGTCAGTAATCTAAAACTAAGAGAGTGTTAATCAGTTTAAATTTAATCTTTATCAGTTTAATCTGTATATCCTCTTGGCTGTAAACGAATGCTGAAGATAGGAACCATTTGTTCTTAATTCATTAGTAAGTCTGTATGCTAAAAAAATGATCATTTCACTTTAGAGTGTGTGGTTTTAAGAACTTTTGTTGAAATCATCAACAAAGGACAGCTGCTGTGGATTCATTCCTCATCGATTTGTGCAAAAACAATGCCAGTATGATCTTTAGAAAGCAAATTAGAGACATTTTTCAATTACATTTCTGCATAAAGAAAACAGAAACCTTATCAAAACATGAGATTAAAGATTAATCTGTTCATACTTCTTAAATCTAATTGGTGTTTTTATTCAAATTGAATCATTGGCGTCTCAGTTTATTCAGATAGGCATTCCTATTTGAATTAATTCAGTTTACAGTGTGCAAATGTCATTACTTAACAGCAGTTTGGTGCGCAAAACTTGACAATGAACACAGTTCTCTCTGGCTCTAGTAAAACATCAAAAATGATGATGATCCCCCTAAATTGTCTTTGAAAAAAAGTGTCAGGAAAAAAAAAACATTTATGGACTGAGGTATTTCAAGCTTTTCCCAACATCTGTATATGGACATAAAAAATATGGGAACTGGTCAGATGTGGATTTGGATGCATAAAAACACTCTCCTCTTCAGTTTTTTCCATCCACTGTCATCCACTCAGCCCCTGGCTTTTAGGCAGGGACATATGCACAGCAAAGGTTGGTGTTCTTCAAAACAATTCAAGCCTTGATGTAGTTCACAAGCATTATATATTTTGCATAAGTTAAAAGCAAAATATCTCAAGGCATTTTTGCCAATTTGATGTCTATGATATTTCACTTGCTTGTAAGATAAAAACCTTAAAAGCCTTAAAATCTGAGAACTCACAAACAAAAAATGGGGGGGATGTGCTCTTCACTTCTGCGTCTCAGAAACGAACATCCAGACTGTTGTTATAACGCTGGCATCGGTCATTAAAATTATTTTAGATGGGCTCCAACTTCTATGCCACACTTTCTCACCTTAGTTCACAAAAGTAACATTCCACTAAACCAAAGCCACTGATGGTAGAATGACATGACAAAGGCTGAAAAAATGATAAGAAGTACATGAGGCCGAAGCAACAAAAAAACCCAGAAAAAAAATCATCTCTCTCTGACTTGCCCTTTATCCTTTCCTAGGATTTTAAAGCTTATTTGTGCTGTTTCTCTGCCTCAGATGGGCTGGTAGAAGTGCACTATGCACTCATGAATAATAAATTAGATGGTTTTCCCCAAGCAATTGGACATTTCACAGTGCTCCAGAGTGAAGCAGACATGACCAGAGGGTTATGTAACAGAGAGGAGAGAAGTTCATAATAAGCTGAAGTTTATCACCTTGGTCTTCTTCAAAGCTGAATATCATATTACATGCAGCCTGTGCAGACTGACTTTGGATACTGTGTACGTCTGGTTGTGTACAGAATATAACCGTCTGTAGTACAGACACCAAATTTTCTCCTGATGCACCTCACCATGCAGCTGTGGGTTTCACTTCTTCTTTGTTCTCCACGGTGGGGCTGATTGATCGCTGCCCCCTCCTTCTCACTATTGATTTATCGCCAGGCTTCACAGGGAGTCCTCCTAAACACATAATCTGGATGGCCAAGTGAAATATATTATCATTTATTCTCATTTTATATGCTTTTACACTAGTGAGTTTATCAGATTAAAATCAAAACCTTACGTTTCACAGAACAAAACAAAGAAAATTCCCTGTTGTGTGTGCATTGTTAAATGCTGCCCACGCTTTGGGATGCTACCGATAAAGACTCCATCCGGACAATTTGTTTCTCTTTTGAAAAATAACATTTTGATCTTTCCATCATCTTTCCATAACCTTTCCATCATCCCAGTTTTATGCAACTCTACACTAATAGTGGAAAAAGTTCAACTCTGCATTATGTGCCCCACATACAAACCAGTTGATACAGTGATTCTGTCAAACCTGGTTCACAGAGCATGGAGGCAAAGACAGACGAGGAGAAAAGAGAGTGAGAAAGAGAGTAGTCAGTTAGTGAATGTTTGAAAGAGAAAAAGGTTGAAGGAGAAACTGAAGGGCATCAAGGAGAATATAGATTGAAAGAGTAGCAAGAGGGGGGCAAGAGACAGGTGCCTCAGTCAAGTCCTTTTATGAAGTGTTTTAACAGCCTGTCAGTTTCCTGAACATCTTTCTCCAGCAACTATTTATTTTTTCCCCTTTCCCTTGTCTTTACCGGAGAGCTCAACTCATCTCCTTTCATTCTTTTCCCCTCCATTTCATGCAAGCATAAAAACACATCTCTCCGGTTGGTCACTCGGTGTGCTGCCAAGCAGAGAGTTAAGATGACACATGCTGGACTGATCTGTAGTGATCTGGATGTTATATAATCTGTAGTTCAGTGACCTCACACACTGCAGGATTAGAGGATATGAGGAGAGAAAATGAGAGGCAAAGGAGGCAGGACAGCAGGATGCTAACTCCCACCGGCAGCGATCAGCAATAACAGGTTACACCCCACCACGCGTATTTGGAATAGTTTACGTAATCCGCTTCTGGTGCTTTAGGCATGAGGATTGAAGGACACTCTCCTTCGGGTGTGGTTACAGGAGTTCTTTGAGCGTATCTCTGTGTTTGTTCTGAGTACCACAAATTAAATTATTTACGCTTGCAAAGAAACATTGAGAGAAATATAACCTTAAATCTTTTTTTTGTAAAAACCTCACCGCCATTGTTTTGTTTATAAAATAACAGATTTGTATACATTTGTATAGAATCTTTCTGATTCTAAGTAATATACTCTGGCAACACTCCTTTTTCTTGGCTATAATTTCCCCATGATTTCCAAAGTGGACAAAACCACTTCTCACAAGTAAAGCATTTCATTCTGATTACATGTAATTACACATATATTTGGGTCTATATGTTTAGCATCCTCTTAAATTGCAATCTGAATCAGAATCAGAATGATGCAAATGAAATAAAAAACATATTCATACATGTAAACACAGTGATTTCTAGGCCGAAAGCAGGAGGTAGATTGACTCTTTTACACAGCAATAACTATCATTTAGTCATTTGTGGAAAATAAGCCAGAGCTGAAGGTGCTGACTTGGCATCACAACACAATTCTATGGAGCATCTATTTTGAGTATTCAGGTGAAGCACTGAAATTGCCAGAGGCATTTTCCAACTTGTGGGGCACAGAATTTATTAGTGTGTGTTACTTCGCCTCCTTGAGCCAGCTGCCAACCTCCTCTTCCTGCTACGCAGCATATGTCATCCCTGTGCCAAGTGAATTCATCAAACCTGTCCAGAGTTTTAACGTTCACCTTGACATTTTGCTGAAGCAGCACTGATGCAGAAAATATAGTCAGTTGTATTAGCTCACTCAAGAGAGCATTCCCACATTTCTGCTGACATAGCAGTGTGTGTGTGTGTTTGTGTATATGTGTGTGGGCTTGTCCACTTTAGCCCCTATGGAAAAAAGAAAAAACACTTTCAGTAGCTGGATCGAATTAAAGTTTTTGTTGCATAGTGGAGAAGTCTTGTCCAAGTGTAGGGATTAATGGACCATATGTGAGCTGGAGTGTGCCTGAGACGTCTGTTTGTTGAGCTATTAATGTGTCTGTGAAGATTTTCAATGCGCCATTAGGCTTAGGTGTAATATTTCCATTCACATTTCTGCTTCTCCACATGAAGCAACATTTCAAATCTCTTAATGGGGAGAAATTATATTGAGTTAGGCATCCTGGGTTGCTCATGGTTTGACAGAGGCATAAGAAGAAGCAGCAGTGCTCTGCTCTATCAGTGCTGATGCTGCTTTAATGAGCTCTGCAGGCTTCCCACTATACAAGATATTTCACTCTTCTACATCACATTCATCTAAAATGTTTTTAATATAATAAAAAAAATGTATTCTGATGGGTTTATATCTCTTGACTGCTTTATGTGAAAGTATAGAGTCAAAAATTGTGTTATTGCTGAAATATTGCATATCTTGCAGTTTTCCTTTGACTGTGTCTTTATATTTTCTGACATCAGACATATATTGTCCCCGAGTAATTTTAGTATCTTTTCAAATGCTCAGTTGTCATCTCTTCCACTTCCTCTTCCCTAAAACAACAGCACCATGACAGGTAAGTGACAGTAATATTAGCCACAGTCTCCTGACTCCATACTTTGGTCATGCTTACATGAAAGAGCTCTTCCACAGAATGAAATGTTCTTTACAACAGAAAATGAACTCCTGCAGCTCTGAAAAAGGCTTCTTGATGGTGTTTTTAATGGAATTTTGCCATCTGATGAAAGATGTTAGCGGTCCCCCGTGAGATGAAGGGGAAATGGGGGTTGTGATTTCATACACCCTCAGGGCACATTGCAGCATGTGTTTCAGTATTTCATGGAAGTTTCTTCTCTTCTATTTATTTTTTCTATTGCCATGTATGTGTTGACAGACATCCAGGCTGCAGGGCTGTGAATTATGATGAGAGAGTAAATTATATAATTATTGCAGTTGGGGTTTATGGTGTAATTGTGCTAATGTTGAAGAAGAAAACCTACAGACCTGTTTGTAGCAACAGGGTGTTAGGGGCACTGAGAGGAATTATGTGTTTTAGAGCTACAACCATAAATATCACAGTAAAATATGTGTTTGTTTCTGCACTGGTTTTTATGCCACGTACAGAGCACCGTATATGTGGTCAGAGAGTTTTTTTTGTTGTCATTGCGTTTGGACATAACATATCAGGATTGGAGTCAGCCATTGTAAATAAATCTGTTGCCATCTACATTTCCGATTTATTTATTTATTTTATTTATTTATTTTCTGCTTGGCTGTGGTTAGAGTAGATCTGCTGCCAGAGATTGGATGCTTACAGCATATCAGTCTATAAACCCTCTGATGCTGAAGCATTCACCCACCACATTGGAGGATTATTTATTTCAAAACCTAATTCATAAATGCATTATGCTGGGAATAACTACAGTATTTTTATATTGAAATACTAGTTGGAGACAATGCATTGCTTACGATTTCAGCATTTGACTTGCAAACAATTGCATGATGGCAGACTCTTGAATAGACTATAAAAATCCGCATTAATCAAGTTTGAATACCATCTAAATAAGGAAAGATCTGTCTTTTGCAGAACAAAAACACACACAGACTAAGATGGACATCAAGCACAAAGTTAGATATCTCAACAGGAGAATAGTCCTTTATCCCAGAATACTGAGCATTCAGAGCAGTAATTACTGTCTTTGCTTGAATTTAAATTACATCCTATCATTGTACCCAGTATTGTCTCATGTTTGTAACTCTGTGTGTGCGTGTTCTCTGTGAGGATTCTTATCTTAGACTCACAGTAACACGCTCTTTGGCAGTAGCACAATCACCACAGTTTCCCACCACCTGCTGTTGTGTTAGAACAGAGAGCCAGAAAAGCAGAGACTCAGAGCTTGATCACAGCGTAGGCTTAATGCTTTCTTCTTTAAATGGTACTTTACATTTGTGTTTTTAGCTATTGAGGCTCCATTGTAGGCAATAGTTTAAACATTCTCTTTGGCAATAATCCCTCTTTTCCGACAACGAGGTGAATAATTAGATGGTCCTTCAGATATGTCATGAATTTTGTGTAAGATAACCAGGATATAGAAAGTATTACCAGATCAAACCTTTTATTTTGATTAAAGCAAAGGTTTGAAAGTTCAGAGCTCTGATGGTTCCCATATGAGTGGGAGGGTCAATGCCACTTCTGTCAGTATATTTTTTGTCTATTAATTGAAGGTGTTTTTAAAAACAGATTTAACCTTTCGGCAAGTATGCTGATGATGTTTTGAGCATCACTGATTGGAGCTGAGGGATCAAACACGTTTTTGTTTCTTGTCCACAATAATATGGATGATTCTGTTCAAGTGAGTAAAATGATGCTGATTGACCTCAGATCGGCCATGTACCCCACTGATTAGTTTACAATATTCACTGCTGCACTTTCTAATCTTCAAGTGCCACTAAATGAATGTTTTCAGTCAACTACTGACAAAGAGAAACTGGGAATGTGGAATCCACTGCAGTTCCTTTGTAAAAAAACTAAACTGTGGGAAAAAAGAAGAAATCAAATACTGTAAACAAAACAAGTCCGACTTTTACTTTTGATTACCTTTATTTAATTTATGTTAAAGGAACTGTAGGAAAGCGGTTACACCTGAGCGTAGGAGACGTATTTTACCCTCTTGTCAGTCCTTGATCCTGCTCTGTGGCTCTGCTGTGTTTAGAGGGAGAGAAACAGAAATAATAGGCAATTATTCATGGCCACTCCAACCCGAGCAAGGGCCACTTCTCCCATGGGGTCATCAGGGTGAGATTTCCAAAGACAACAATGAAAGCCGCCTTAGCCACAGCTTTTAGGCAGACAACAGACAGGAGCTGATACAAAGGTAGGCAGAAAGGATGCTACAATGGCTGGCTGGTTTACACAAAATGTCTCAAGCTTGATTTAGTGGAGTGCGACAAAAAAAGATAGTGATCAATATTAATACTATACTCTGCTGCTGACCATCGGAGGTGCTGAGAGGTCTCCCGGAGTAGGCACCCTCTGAACCCTATTAACATTTAGTAGGGTGATATATATGCTTTGATCAAGTATCCTTCATATTTGTGCCACAAATTCTTATTTAATCTGAGCAATTGTCTCAAATTATGTAATATTCAGATAGATTCATTACAAAGCAAAGATAAGCTGTCAATTTTCGTGGCTGCGTGTCCAGTGAATGTTTGGAATTTTACAATATGGAATGAGTGATGACGATTTGTATCTGTGTGCATCTAAACACAGCTTTCTCCTTTATTGGGCCTGGCCTGTGACTATATCGCTGGGGTGGAAGAATTCTGCCAGACTACAGCTGTTGTGCCGTCCAAAACACTCCACCATCAACATTTCAACTAGGAATTCTCTGTCACAGCTCATTGCTTCACTGTCATCGTCAGCAGATGGAAAAATTTGCCATTGTGATATAAAAAGTTACACTCAATGCCTATTGCTGCTATAAACTGGCTCCTGTTTTTCCCACTACACTATCATATTTCTCTTCTATCCATTCCTGGCTTTTTGTGGCGGGATGTTGAGTCAAAAGTCAACATCCCAGACGGTCCCTGTCCATTTTTCCAGTAGATTAACACAGCTATCCTTGGTCCTAGTATGCTGTGTGTATGTCAGTTGAGCCCGTTGTGACCCCTCAGCATTCCAGCAGAGCAACATAAGTCACCACGAGAGCTGTATTGGTTTTCCCAGCCTAGAAATAGGCCTGCAGGCAGACGTAAATCTCTGTCATGGAGCGTCCTAATCGTTTTCCGAATGTATGGAAAATAGCTGGCGTGTGACACCCAGGTCCTGCCTCTTCAGGCAGCTCAAAGTCACATTGTGACTGGGCCAAGTGGGTCAGTCAGTGATGAGTGAAAGATAGTGGGTGCTGACTGATATGTCCCATGGGATCATGAGATGGGGTCAGTTAACTTGCTGCTGCATCTGTTTTTCTTGTGGTGCTTTTTGGTCATAATTTGATGTAAGATCTTTGTCACTATATGGCTCCTCATCCTCCAGCTTTCCGTCACATGGCAAATGTGCTTGTGTGTCTGGAATGTTATCCTGCTCACACACATTTTCCCCTCTGCCTTTATTTTCATGGTTGCTATAAAGTTTTATGGCTGAGTCAGTTGTTAAACTTCAGAGGATTTTGTTTCCACCTCATACATTGTTTTCCGCTTTCATGACGATCAAAATCTCACAGGTTAGTTTTCATACATTTTCTCTGTGTTTTTCTCTGATGTCTTTTAGTACCGGATTGGCCAGCTGTACATGATCAGTAAACACAGTCATGAACAGAGTGAACGTGGGGAAGGCGTGGAAGTGGTGCAGAATGAGCCATACGAGGATCCGGACCATGGGTCAGGCCAGTTCACTGAGAAACGAATCTACCTCAACAAGTGAGTGTCTCACATTTAGATGGTTTATTTTTGCTCCTCTTGTAATTGATTGATCCCCATTTTAAAAGGATAAAGAACTAAAACCACTTAAAAGCAGCATAAAATGTCATGCCTTTATAACACACATTTAAAAACAGGAAAACCTTCTTGTCGGGTTGAATAAAAATCAGAATTTCTCTAGCTGTGGATGAAACATGAGTAAGAGTCCTCTTTTTCAAAACTTTAAAGTGAAATGCCAGCATGACAGCACAGGAATTTGCCAGCTGTTTTACCCATGGGGTTTCAAGTTATTCATAGTCACTCAAACTCATTTCATACGGCTCTACAATCATTTGGAACAACAGCAAGAGCCACATGAAATTCAATTAAATGAAACATGAAAACATCATATATGCAATAACTGGGATCAAAACCAACATTTCTATGAAGACACAGTTATTATATTAATGAATATTTTCAGTATTCACATACTCAGATTTGCTTAAATTCCAGCATTAATCAACACAAAGCTGTGAAATAACACCCCTCAAAAAGCTCTTTCACAAACCCTACATTACCATCAGGAACAACTGGCTCCCCTAAATTTCTGTTTTCACCATCATCTCAGCTTTACTGTATGACCTCATGAAAGGCTAAACTCTGAAGTTTGGGTCTTTTTTTTGCTTGTTATTGCAAAGATTAAGCATTGGTACCTGTCAAATGTTCAATTATGACTTTTTAAATCCTGGCATCATTGTGGCCATTATCTCTTTAGGCTGTTAACATATTTAGAGTGTAAATATGATTTACACAGTACCAATTTGCTCCTTCAGGGGATAAACCTTTTGCTTGTCTACAGAAATATCAAAGCCCACGCAGCCAGCTGAGGACATTTTATCCATTTAATATTTATCTCGAACTCCGCGGCAGCTCTTAGTAGTGATGTTTGTGCTCGTTTTACAACCTGACATCTCTGCTGCAACTGTGACCTGGATTCATTCATGTATGCATCACCATGTTAATGAAGATCATGATCAAACAGGTTTTGGTATTTTTATTATTGTTCCACAATACATTTCCAACCCACCCTTTTCATCATGTTTGCTGTTGTCTGTTCTCAATCTTAAGTTCTCTACTCTGTAACTTCAAAGTAATGTATATATTGAAGGATAATAGAATTTGAGTTACAAAAAAGAAAATGTTTTCTGTGTCATTCTCCAGCATTTTTGTGTGGTGAAAGAAAAGTCCCAAGTAAGGGTTACATTTGGGGAAAAAAAGTAAAAATGTTCAGACAACTACAGCCAAGGGACACTTCAGAAAGTGTTACATGGCAACAAATCACAGTCCCAATGAAGGCACGGGAAATATGGGATAGCAACATTTCTTGTGGCCCACAGTGTGGGGCAGCATTTACTCACATGATAGAGGACCCCAAACTTTTTTTTCTTCTTTTTTTAATTTGTAAACCTCAGTGAAGGTTTTTTTTTTCTTTGTTGAATCAGCAATCAGTGATTTTTAAATCTGCAATCAATTGTAAATATTGTCTAATATTGGATAACTATTAAATATTATGAACCAATGTAGCGTTTACCCTTTCTGAATTTGGAATACTATATATTGTCTTGAGTTGGGCTAGGGGTTAGAAAAAATATGTAATATTTTTTTTGTTGTGTTAAAGAAGTCTCAAACTTTAATATTTGCTTACTATATTATGTAGAGGCTGTACGTTGTTGTCAGAAATGTTCAGTAATGAGGAGCCTTTTTCTTTGCATGGTTAATCTGTTATAGAGGAGTTGTAATCAGAGTTTACACTGATTACTATAACGTTCTCTAACATAAAGATGGTTCGCTTTATTCCCACAAGACCAAAAAGAGAGCTGCAATTCCAAGAGATGGGTTAGGTGGAGTTTTGTGGTCAGATGTAAGTGGGCCTTTTGCCAAAGGAGCTGCTGCTTACAAACTGAAAGAAGAAAAAGACCTGGTGCTCTGTGACAGTGTGTGTGTGAGTGTGAAAATCACTGTCACCGTGTGTGGGGTAGAGTCACTGTAAGTGATGGATAATTTGAGCAGTCGCAGTCGGACACCGAGCTAGCCTCTCTCCACCCACAAACCACCTGTTATAGTGTTATAGCTGCAGCCTGTGCGTGTGTGTGCGTATGCGGCTTGTAAATAAGGCATTGTGAGGACATCTGACCAGTCTGCTGTGTTTGGATACTTCCCTGGCTGTTTGACAGGCCATGGGAGAGCAGGAGAGAACCGTCTGTCTCCTGTCCCTGTAGTCTATAAAGTCTCAGACAGCCCTTTCTAATATGTCGACACAAAAAGGTAAAAAAAAAAAAAATGAAGGTAATAATGTTGGTGCTAAAATAATCAGTGGCTTTCTTCTGAGATTTATCCTGAAAGTGAAACCTGTCATAACACTACTGACTGATGTATCAGTTTCCTTGATGGTACTGTTTGCTATAGGCTTATGTTCACACAATAGAAAGGACAAATGTGATTAGGACTAAACTGAATCTGATGGGAGTCTGTAGTGACTGTCTGAAAACCCTCTCCCCTTGATATCTGCTGCCAATCAGGACTTACAGCTTCACTTTTAAAACTCAGACAGCTCTGTTCACCTTTTAATATCTCAAATTTGGCTTGGTAATTTTCCCACAGCTAACCATTTAGTATCCACTGGTACTGAGAAAGCCTCCAGAATCAGTCACAGTGTAAGCCCTGTTAAAAAAGAACCTGCAGGATGCGGCCCATAATCAGTGTATTCAATTCCCCAAGGGGCCATCATGGCTGCATTGTCTAGCATCCATTATGGTGCCACACAGCTGGATCTTTTTCGGTGATTATTCTGGTCAACGGTATTAAAGAAATAGGTTGAGAAACCTCAAGAGGAGACTATTGTGACTTTGCAGCACAGGAGCCATTTGTCTCTCATCAGCTCTCTTGTCCTTTCTCACTGCTCTCTCTCTGTGTTCCAGCAAACTGCCCAGTTGGGCCAGAGCAGTGGTCCCTAAAATCTTCTATGTCACAGAGAAGGCTTGGAACTACTACCCATACACAATCACAGGTAATGCTCGACATTGGTCCATTCTCTCTACAAGTGTGAACAATCAAGTATGTGTGTGCACTTGCAAATTTCCTCCATTTGTGAGTGTTGCTTAAGATATAGCGGCATTAACATTCAGAGTGACACAAACAAGATGTCACTTGTGATGGTGATTGCGTAAATCCAATGCAAACACTGCAATTTTCTGCGACCCTTAACAAACATGATTTTGTTCATCTTCTGGCAGGGGGTGTTGTTGGTCAGCAGGAAGGCGCAAAAAGATGTGAAAGCACTTTGGCTTAAAACTTTGAAATAATAGGGATGAATATTACATTATACTTTTTGATTTTACTACGTGACGGCATTGTTAAAAATGAACACAAAGACTATTAAAATGACATGATGACATGACATGATCCTATCCATTTTCTGTTCATTTTCTTCAACAAAGAATTAGATGTGCAAGTAAAAGTAGCTCTTTTGAAAAATGGGTCCAAAAACATTAAAGATGTGCACCTAAAAGTATCAGTGTCACACAGATTCATTTAGAAATTGCATAGTATCACCTAAATGAGCTCTCATCATGTGTTTTTACTGGGATGGAACTGCTATTGCTTAAACTTAATGGTCTTTTTTGCCTTTATATCTTCTATTTTCATTATGTTTTTCCTCTTTGTTTTCTTCCACCTTTCTCCCCCTCACTCTCACCACTCACAACCCCTTCCCTTTCCATTATGCTGATGGTCTTTGCTGACAACATGATCAGAGTACACGGTGAGTAGTTTCACTGTCTGCACCCATGGACATGCAAGCTCACGTGGGGAAAAAAGAAAATCTCTTTGATCCAGCATCTATGTCTTCTGCAGAGGCTAAAAACAGCCATGCTGAAATATAAATAATGTGCGTTCAATACCTTTCAAGCTAATTTGTTTTTATATATCAATTGTTGCAAATTATAGAAGTCAAATAGCATCATGTTCTGTATTTGTGACATGGAGTACAATGTTTTCCAGGGAGTTCTCATAAACCATACAAATTCGCTCTTTAAAAAAGGAAATTTGCTACTGTGGCAAGAAGCTACTAAATTTATTTTTCTGTTTATATGATGATAAAATGATGAGGGAAAAGCCCACACAAACCTGCCATGTATCTTTTGGCTCAATTGTACAAGAACATAAAAAGGTTGTAAAAGTGCCACATATCGATCCCTAAACTGTTCTCCCAGTTTGGATGTGGACACACTAAAAAGAAAGATTAGACTTACATCACCTTATCTCCAATATAAAGTAAATAGAACCTAACTGTGATGCAAACTCTGGAGTTGTGCTATCCCCAGTATTTGAAGTACAGCCTCAGTGCCATTTTTAAAGAGTGCTGGAGACACAGAGATCCTTATTATTAATTGTTTACAGTCGAGTGATCAGTGCTAACTCTTACCAGGCTCCTTCATCCTGTTAGCTCTAATAAATCCTAATGATTCCTCTGGGTAATTCTTTACGAGCCTCCATAGGGAGGTTATAGTTAAGCTCCTTATTCTGACCATTAATGATAAGATCCGCACATCCAGCAGTTGCATCTTAGATCAGATAACTTAATTTACTACCCTAACACACTCATATCCTTTAAGGCCTTTGGTTTTTGGCCCAGATGAGTCCTGACACCTGCCTCAAAATAGCATGTAACCTTACTGCATTGGTTTGCTTGTCAGTATCAACCATTTACAGAGATTTACTCATCAAAGACATAAACAAACTTTACAGCTCCAAGCTGTGAGGCCGGCTCATTGACTGTGCTCAATTACAAAAACAAAAAAATGATTTGCTCTGCTAGGCATGCCCTGTGAGTTGCCTTGTCCAAAACAGTGCGCACACACAAAAAAACAAAATAATGCCACATCAGGCTATTCCTGTGAAAATGAGCAAAGTGGGGTACAGGTAGAGCTCAGATTAGCAGCTGCCGGGATTTCGATTAAATAATTTGTCCTATCCCTGTCAGGGGGCCACTAGGAAATTAAACAAGCATTTGTAAAGTGTTGTCAATCTGCCTCCGGGGGGATTCAGTTTGGGCATTGGTTGTCACACTTTTCCTGATGTGGTCAATGATGATGCTCAGTATGTGAAGATAATGATTTTGGTTTTGTGGCAATGACAGTGATGCTAAAATAGGTAGCCATGTGATCATGTTTTCCTCTGGTGTGCAGTGGCTTAATTAATTATTACTCATCAAGGGAGGAGAGTTTAACACAAAACAAAAAAAAAACCTACTGGAAGAATTCTGTGCAAGACAGCATATGTAACCAATACTTGTGGTTTTGTGTACAGGTTTGGTCATGTGTAGGTGTCAAGCTTTAATCTAATTTCACTGCCGTCTTTCAGAACTGATTATATACATTCAGTATGACCTAAATGGGTAAATGCGCCTTTGGGTTGTTTGTGTTATCATTTAACAGGGACTATTCATTACTGCTAATTTGTTTTATGTAATAAAACTTTATTTTATGTGTTATGTGATCTGGCCCAAACACCATAAAGCAGCTCATTTGTTATCTGACAAAAATGTCACAGTGCATGTTTATTTCTCATTAAGCCTTTTTTCTCCCCTTCAGTGCTCCTTCCTGCCCAAGTTCTCAATCCACATTGAGTCTAAATATGAGGACAACAAAGGGAGCAATGATAAGGTATTTCCCCCAGACATTTGTGAATCTTGTGGGTGCAACTGAAGAGACGACAGAGTTTATGTTTAGTTGTTTTTTTGCCATTGCTCTGTGGTCTGTTTTAATTGCTTCACCGGTTTTTCTATCATACATTTTTACCAGTCTTTTTGCTTCAAAGCCTCCATCTCAAAGCTAATGACTTGTCTTTGTTAGGGGATTTTTGCATTGGGTGACTGAAGGTTATAGAACAAGCGATTGCTCTGGTTTGTTGGCTCTCCTTTTTGCTTAATGCATAAGGGAATCTTTTTGTCCAAATGAATTAAACCTCAGTGGGATCTGATACAAACAACACAGTTATGACCTTGCTAGAAAAACTACTCTATCTACTCTCTCTATGAAACCTCTAAAACCTGTTTTTAACATTTATATAACCTATGTTTTTTTATTAAAAAATGTGAATATTGTATAGGATATCTGAGAGGCACAAATATGGGAATCTCTAGAGGCAGAATTTTATTTGAAGATCAGTCCATTGGTTGAAGATCTGTATGTATATATGTACAAAGATGCTTTAATGTGAATGAATGGGATTTTTAATCCTCTACAGCCCAATGGTGAGTCCAGCACTCTGTTTAGACTTGTTCAGTAATGGTCAGAAAGACTGTTTGATGCAAGAAAATCCAAAATTGATTATTCAAGAGCAAGACTAGCAATAGTCCCTGAAATCACAGAGGAACCCTGGGTAATTTATGAACAATCAAAAGCATCTTATACATTGGCTTTTGTAAATGTTAAGCTGTCAAACATCATGAAATATTTAACAAGGGTGTGCAACACAGAACAATATAAATAAGAAACCAATGCCTCTTTTTTGTTTACTCTGTTAAATCAGACGTCTTGGTCTTAGTGAAAAAAGCTTTATTTGGTGAGAGCAAAATATTGTATTCCACCATAACAGATGCATGCTATGATAGAAACAGGGTGGTAGTAATATGGTATGAGCATACTTTACTTCATCCGGACAAGGAAAGCTTGCTATAAGGAATTAAGATCAATTAAACCAATACAGTTTTTCTGTGCAGAGCAACAAACTAGGATTCCTCAAAGCTGATTTATGAGGCTCATCAACAGTTGTGTGAAACATTCTCTTTGTTTTGTTGACAGTCCTGAAAGTAAATTGGGTTATTTTTCAGAGATCAGTCAAAGGATGTCGTAATAAGACTTCTTTCTCATTTTACTCAGTTGACTACTTTCCCCACAACAAAGGGCACTCTGCTTGCTCTTCATCTCTCAGGGACTCTCAATGATTTGACCCTCAGTTATGCAATATCGCCTGGTGCATTCTTTAGCTGAAAAGACAAGGCTGCAGCTCCACTCTGTGGTAGGTCACAGGAGTTGCACCCACAATGATTGTTCCGTAAGATGGTTAATGCTTCCCATTTGAAAAAGACTGAAGTAAATCAGAGTGAGTACAGGTTCAATAAAGGGGTTGCTCTTCCACTCATGCCTACACCATTTGTCAAGCCCCCACCGCTCTTCCTCTCTCGTCTCCCCTTCCTACAAAGTTTAGTCAAGGGTCACTGATGCATCAATGCTGAAACTGTTCTGAAAGGAGCTGATAACTTTTCTTATGTGAGTTACAGTAAAGGTAATCAGGTGTGACTCAAAGTTTATTTAAAGAGCGGTCTACAGGAAAAAGCAGGACAAAAGATTTTCATCATGTTAAGAATTTGCTTTAATTTCAAATCTAACAGGAGGATGTCAGATTTGAGAGACCTGTCCTGCATGAGCCACTGCTTTATATTGAGGTTTTTCATTATTATTTTCTCTCCTTTTCCAAATGAAACAACTCTCTACTTCCATGTCAAAAGCAGAGGGACAACCACAGCATGGCATGCCATCGCATTTGTTTCCACGTTTAGTGCGGAATTGATGCTTCTGTCCTCCTCACGCTTATCTACTCCCTGTCCTTCAGATCTTCGGCAGCGAACCCAGAGAAGAAGAGACAGAGGTGTGTTTTGTTGACATCGCTTACGACGATATCCCCGAGCGCCATTACAAGGAGTCTGAGGTGAGAGAAGTGGGGTCAATGAGGGAAGGTGTGTATGCGCACATGGCCGAGAAGATAAACTGGACCATAATGATGGAGAAAGAAAAGTGGGGAAAAAATTGAGCAGTAGCCATGAGCACCACCAGCTGGTCATTTGCTTCGCTTGAGTGATGGAAGGAAGGGACTTGCATGTCTATGTGAAGGAGGTATGATGGGCATTAACTCAGGTGATTTGGCATTTGTATGCGCGTGTGCTGGCCCATCTATCAGACATGATGGTCATAAGGAGCTGGGCTATTAATAGAGGGATCATGACAGCACTGCAGTGAGGTTTTATTATCAACACCCTGACACATAAACCTACCACCCACTGAATCTAATGATATTCTGTTCGTTTTACTAGATGTTAAGAATAGCACAGAGATCCTGTCAAAAGAACTGCATAGATATCAGATAGTGCAAAGTGTTTTTCCTCATTATTATTTTTTCTTTTTTTTCTTCCATTTCATTTATTTATTTTAAATGATTATTTATTTTTAAATTATTTAACTATCACACATACACCCTGGCTTACATAGAAGACTATTTTATTAATTATTTTACAAGTGGTTAACGTAAGGTCTAGGTACCCCTGTAGAACTTAGTTAGGTTTAAGAAGCATCATTTTGGTTATAAGCTGGCAACCTTCTTCAGTATCACTCTTAAATTTCACAAGTAGTTACTCCAAAAGGACAGTTTGAATTTACAAATGCACATTGAAAGCATACTATGCAAAGAGGAAAACATTTGAATCAAGCTTCAGAAAATGCACAACCCACTTATTCAATTGCCAAGCATGCTCCATACTAAATCGAACGTGTTGCTGGCCTTAAATCTAGCATACAGTTTTAAAAAAACAGTGAAACCTTGTAACTCCAATGGGTTGATATATGTCAAATTAAAAGTAAGGTTTTATCAATGTCTTTACATGTTTTCATACATGGCTGCTGCTACCAGAGGCCAGCAGTTTTTCACATGCTGTGGTTAACCTGTACTATGTTTTTTAGATGTTCTAATTAGCATTTCACATTGTGGCCTCTTTTTATTCCGATAAATTTGATGGCACAGTCTATGCACAGCCTAAATCAACAGGCGTCTTCCACCTCCACAGCCACGGCTTTCCCCGCAGGGACAAAGAGTGTTGCATCACCCCCTCACACATTCTGTCACAGGCAGACACATGACCCCGAGACAAATGAGCACCACGCCATAATTAGTCTCCGGGGAGCAGTGATTAATGTTCGTATAGTTTGCTGTGAGGGACTCCATCTGTGCGGCTTGGCTGCTCTCTGCTCAAGTGTGGTAATGAATGCAGGTGTTCCTGCCACAGCAGGGAGGGATGGATTTATGCGCCTGACAGAGATAAACGACAAACAGCACCAAAGCCTACTCATTACATACTAGTCGTTAACATTGTGAGAAATAAGACATTTTTTGGGAAAGTGATTTTTCCGAGCATTGTGTCACATGGCTTCGCAGGACCTTCGGCATTTCAAGTCGAAGAAGACTAACAGAGGGATTCTTCAGGAGGGATGGATTGACTCCCATGACCCCATCATGTGCTCATACAAACTGGTCACAGTGAAGTTTGAAGTCTGGGGCCTGCAAACACGTGTGGAACAGTTTGTGCACAAGGTCAGAATCTTTTTTTATTTTTCTGCATCTTTACCAAAATAAACTCTTTTCTGTGTGAAAACATTTGACCTGCGCAGATTGCCGTCAGGGCTCGAGGCATCCAATTTTCTCCTCCAACAACACGTGATCCAAGGCCTTGAGCCAAATCACCTCTTCCGTTATCACCCACTGCAGCATTTAAACTTCATATCTCCCATATCCCCAAACCCATTTCCCCTGGCTCTGCTGCATCGGCCCCTGAGGTCAAACTGTCTGCTCCCTCCTTGCCTGAGGCTCACTCACACACTCACACACACACAGACAACAAGGTTCATTACTCAGGAGAGACTCACAACAGTCATATTTCTTAGTGTGACACATTACAAACTTTAACATTTTTTAAACTCTATTGTGCCTCCAGGGCCAACTTAGTCACCTTGAATTTCCACCTCTTCTTCTCTCGTTTCTTTTTCTTCTCTTCTTTCCTAATGCATCAGGTTATTCGCGATGTCCTGCTTCTAGGACACAGGCAAGCCTTTGCCTGGGTGGATGAATGGATTGGTAAGTGCTTTAAAGATGACTGCAGAGCATGTCAAAAACACATGGGTTCATTTGTTAATGTTAGCAGTGGTAATGGGATATAATGATGCCTTTCTACCTGTTAAAGGACACAGATAAAGCGATGAATTGTCAAGGACTCCCTGCAGAATAACTGTTGTTAAAAAAAGATGAACATCATCTTTTTACTCATCTCATTAATCAATAATAAATAACTGCCATGGTCTGTTTAGTTTCCTCAATGAGTGAGCGATTAATTACTGGATTTAAGATATAGGAACAAAGGCTGTCATATTCAATTTTGAACCGTTTAAAGTAATTGCTTTTTTTGACTGTTATGCAAATTTTGGTCTAAATTAATAATTATTCATGAATTATTAATTATTTTTAAAAGAGTCAAACATGTAGCATTTTTGTAATATTTAAAGCAAGACTGCTTGAACATTCCAACGTTTCACAGTTTTAACAAAAAAGATTATTTGAGCACCCTTTACCCTTTTTATAGACAGTCCACAGTCCTCAAATGATTATTGGAGAAATTTCCATCTATTCTTCATGCATTATCTATTTCTTTATGATCTTTCATTGTACAGCCCATCCTTAGCTATAGCTCAGGGTTAGCTTTTGAACAGATATAAAAAAAAATTGGTTTTCTTTTACTTGACTACCACTGCTGCTGTAAAGAGCAATTTATTAGTTATGTGATTAATGAGATTCCCAGAATGCTCTGTTGCAAAACGAATGAGTGTATAGCTGCGGATCGTTGGGATGAGAAATTACCTAAGCTCTTACCTAACTGCTGGATGGCCTTAAATCAATTTTATCTTTTTACAAGAATGAAATTACATAACTTTTTTATTGTTTAAAAAAGATTTTCCAATTTCAACATTTACAGTAGGTTGAAGATTTACAGTTCCCTGAAAACCAGAGCTGTCGAATATCACTTCAGAACAAACGGCCCAGTCACAGTTTCTGAGCCTGTAATTCTTCCATCTGTGCAGACATGACCATGGAGGAGGTTAGGGAATACGAGCGCACCTCGCAGGAAGCCACAAACCTGAAGATCGGCACCTTCCCCCCCGCCATCTCCATCTCAGAAACCCCCCTGCCGTCCAGCACCCGCAGCGGGCCTAACAGCGCCCCCTCCACTCCTCTGTCTACCGAAGCTCCAGACTTCCTGGCCGTGCCCAAAGATCGGCCCAGGAAGAAGTCTGCTCCGGAGACCCTGACCCTGCCAGATCCGGGCCGCAGGGATTCCATATTCAAGCTTCCCAGCTTTTTCTCCTGGAACTCCAGTCCGCAGCCAGAATGAGAACCACTTCAGTCTCTGGTAAACACCCTCCACCCGTAAATCCGTCATCAGCGACCCCCTCAGCCAGCTGAAGTGACGCAGAGTTCTCATACTCCAGGACCCTCCCTGACCTCCAGGAGAGGCGCCAAGTTACAGCAAAGCCAACAGCCCTCAGAGGTCTTTGCAGGGACAAACAGGGAACCTCATACCCACAGGAAAAAAATCCTCTTAAGAGTCGGGGAAAAAACAGCTGCGGGATCCTCATTTCTTGTCCTAATTTTAAAAAATGAACCAGCCGACATTGTGCACCAGTCAGTATTAAGACCAATTAGCCCAACTGAGTGTAGCATACATTCCTGAAAATGTTTTACCCCTCAGAGCATCACCCCGTTTTCACCCAAGCTCAGGGTGTCTTGAGGAGTTATGAAGAGATTCAGTCACTGTACAGAATTAGCTTTTTGCTTCTTTACCTTTCAATATCAGACTCTCTGGCTTTGGTAACGGGAGCTCAAAGTTTGATGTTTGTATTGATGTGGTTGAGAGTTTTTGACAGATTTAGTTGGCCACTGTATCGGTTGAATATTGCAGGTTTTAACAGTCAGCTGTACAGTGATGGATTTTTCCTGTAAATACTGATACATGATGTAACTGATCAAATGTCAGTGTTTTTAAAGGTATGTCATGTGTCCGGTGATGACGCTGCTATTAAAGTTATGTTGTGCGCTTTAACAGACTGTTTCTTCTATGTTTGCTTCTTGTGAGTTCTGTTTTTCCCCACTGGAACCACTTTGAAATATTTGTCAGTTTAATGTTTTCGTCTTATTTGATGAGTTTTTACAGAGTGGTCTTGTGGTGTTTTGCTGCTATATTAATTTAGGTTGTGTTTATTCTCAGTCAAACTACTGATTACTGATCTTGTTCAGTAAATAAAAGTCTATCAAATACCAGTGCAACCCCATAAGTGTGACTAGTCTTTGTCAATGCATATTTTTTGGAGTAAAACATACATTAAAGCTAGTGGGTCTGTAGCCTAGAACAAAATTCAGAAATGATTCAGCGCTGCAAAGGATGATTTTGTCACGTGTAAAATATAAATTGTATAGAGCTAAATGCAGAAGAGGTTCATGTCATCCATTTTTTTGTCTTTGTTTATACTAATCTTGAATATAAGCACTTATTGCATTAGATCCTCATGTAATTTTACAATCTGTGGAATTCTTGCAATCTTTTTGTGTGAGCTTCTTAGTAAAGCAAGTTTTTTGCTCTCTTAAGAAGATGGAAGACTATATTTTAAATTAATTTATAGTAGAGGTGGATTCAGGGTTATCTGGAGGTAACTGGGTTTATCTAATGTAGTTAATAATCTAAATAAATGATATGACTGACACCTGCAATTTTTTTAGAAAAATGGTGAGGATGGAGTAGGCCTTTAAAATTCTCTTCTGCATGTGAAGAGTGAGATAAATAATATTTTTCAGAGTCTGCTTCAAAGTAGTTCCTGTATGGATAAAGGACAACAAATAACTCTTTGAACAGAAGTCAGCGTTTTATTAGTATGAAAAAAAAGGCCTGAGAGTCTGTGAAGGACAGTGATGTTAGCACACCCCAAAAAAAAGAAAGACCGTTCAGGGAGGTTAACATAGAAGGACACGCTTAAATATGTGAACGAGTGTTAAATATCCATATTCAGTGCGATTCAATTGACCAGAATAGTTTTCACATCATTCTAAATACCTCATGTTAAACAAATGCATATTATCTATGCACAATACAAAACACAAAATAAATCCATTATAATTATAATAATCCATCAGTGATTCCCTCTCCCAGTGTGATGATACAACACCTGCAAACTGTAAGGTCACAACAAAGTGTTCAAAGCATGAAATGTACACCGTCCGGTTTAAATATGATCCATTATTCTACCTTTAACTCAAAAACTCTCAGTACAAGTTCATCAATTGCAAACTTCCAAGATGAGTCTTACATGTTACTGTTATGTGTATTCCTATTTTTTCTTTTTTTAAAAATGGGCCGAGATAGGCAAATAGCAAATATAATGCACAACATCATGTACAACCTTTAAATATCAGATGTGATGTCATGATGCCTTCAAAGAGCCAGATTAAATATATTTTCACAAATGCAGCTCTGTAACTAACTAAACAAAAACCTTTTTTGAAAAATGTAATATTTTCCTGTTCTTATAAGTAAAAAAGAAAAAACAGCTATTCCTTTTGTTCAGTGCAAGTAAAAAAAAAGGTGGCAAAAGTGCATTTTGATGCATGATTTTCCCAATCTGCACCCCCCCCCCCCCAACCCATTTACCTCTCCCCTGAGTCTTTGGTGAGGCCATTTAGTCTCCGCCTCGCCTTCATGTTGCGCATGGTGTCGAGGAAAAATTCATACCAAAAAAAGGTGAAGCCTGTTGACAGCGCAGCCTTCACCAGGCTGGGGGAGAGGCCTTTATAAAAGCCTCGGACGCCCTCCTCTTTGGCTATTTGAAGCATGCAGTCTAACAAACCTCTGTAACATCTGACCTAAGAGACACAAAGCAATATTTAAACAATGAAACCCGGCTTATGTCCTCCGGTGATGTGAAACGTGTGGTGGAGGGCTTACCTGTCCAAAGTGAACTCTGGCTGCGTCAAAGCCACCAACCTGCAGTCTCTTTTTGAACAGGTCAAATGGATATGTAATGGTTTTGCTGATCATTCCAGCTCCGCTGCCACAGACCAAGCTCCTCAGATTTCCTTGAAAGAAATGCACAAACAATCTTATGTCCATGTGGTAATATGAAATAAAGTTGGCTATGTTCAAGAAAACAGTTTAAAGCAAAAACTGACAACTTTTAGCACCCGGAAAGCTGATCAAACTGTCTGCAACAGACTGCAGGCACCTTCATTCTGACTAAATTATGTGAAAAGAAAATTCAACGGCTCTTTTTATCTCACAGCTTCTAAAATCAGAGTTTCTACTAAACCCACTTTCATTAACAGAGACTAAAATGACAATTTTTTACTGACCTCTTGAGTCTGCAGCTTTGGGTGGAGGAGCCAACAGATTTTTAAAGACATTATAGAAGAAGAACTGTAGTCCAGCGTAGGGAAACACCGCCACCAACGTGGGTGACAAACCTCGGAAAAATGTCAGGGTTCCCTCTGTGCGCCACATCAAGGAGATGGCGTGCCGCAGGTTATTGTATACCTGACATGATGAGTGAGAGTTAGTTAAATACACATAAAACACAATCCAAAACAATGACTATCATAGTAAAGTGATAAACAGTGACCTGTACTGCATACAACAAACAAGAGAAAAACATTTACCATTTTCCTATATTTCATTTACATTTCAGAATGGGTCAAACATCGTAATTAATAGTTGTGCTCTACCTTTGGTTCTCCTTGAGCGGCAAAGCGTGTCCGCAGCGTGTCCAGAGGTTGGCAGACCACTGTGGCAGAGCAGGCGGCCAGGCCGCCACAGAGGAAGTGGACGCCCGCTGCTCGACTGTCATACGCCGTCGACTTGTGGACCGCCTCGGTCAGAAACTCAAAAGTGGCGAACTGCAAATTACACGGTTTCAATACGATGGAAATGTTGAATCGGGGAGGTTCTGTGTGAAGAATACGTTTGCTGTACCTGGACCGCTCCGTAGCAGATGGACAGGAGCTGTGCTGGGATGTGACCCTTCCAGAAAGCCGCGAGCCCCTCCTCTGAATGAATGCAACGTGCTGCCTGGAACAGTCCCCAGTATTTCCCCTCACGCTTTTGTGAAGACACACGCTCTATCTGCAGCTGTGAGGGAAGTAAACAGTAAGTATCCAAACAGCAGCACTTCAAAATAGTAACGGGTTACATTTCTGCATGGAATTGATTTACTCAACATTGCATCTGCGCACTGTATAGTAAAATATTCATCAATAGGTATGGTAGGGTAACAATTTAAAGTAAAATATTTACACCTTAATTGTAGTTAGGTAAGGTTCCACAGGTTTTAATAGACATTTCACTGTCACTGTCATCTTGACTAAGTTAAGATCCAGATAAAGCTCTCCTCTGCCACCACCTGGACGCAGCAGTCACATATCACAGCAGCACTTGTTACATCATTACCTGAAACCTGATTTTAAGGACATCAAACGGGCTGATGAGGGCTCTGGTGACCATACCAGCAGCTGAACCAGCGACGGCTGCCTCCTCCGGGGAGAGAGCCACAGCCTGCACACCAGGGTCATAGCCCACCATGACCCCACGAACCTCCTGTTAACACTGGTGACAAATAGTAAACTTTAATTGAAGTCCAAGCAAATCATGCGACTATGCATGTGCATGACCTGTACTTATTGATAGACAGGATGGTTTAAAGAAATCTATATTCACAACATGAGAAGGAAAGGCAGCAGGATCAAGACATAGGGTCAAGCTTAGCTAGGCTAACAACAGAGCAACTGTTCACTTTGTTAAAGTAGTGATGGAAAAAACTGAAATATATTTTACCTCACAGTATGAGTCTTTCATAAACAAGCCAACGGCAGACGTGTATACAACAAGCACAGTGAAGCAAACATTTAGAAGGCAAGAACACGTTACTTCTGCTTTCCTTGAAGTACTGACACCTCCGTTAGGTCGCACAGCGCATGCCCCGCCTTTCAAAGAGTAAATATCGCGACAAGATAGTGTCAGAGCGGAGGTCAGCAGAGCACACCCAACAGAACTACCGTGAGGACTATGCGCAATATAACTACTCAAATTGGGGTCTTACGGGCAAAACAGATACAATTAGCATTTGCTTTGCTTACGGTTACGTGATTTGTTTAGGGATCAGCGAAGAAGGGTAGTGACTTCTCTTGCCATTAATATTTCATCCCTGAAAGATTGTGTCGATGAACGCCCGCCTACCTTGATTTCAGTGGTATGATCCCTGTGGATGCGCCTAACAGGTACATTGCTTCGCCAATATTTCAGTGTTTGGCGCAAATTACTTTTGGCGCTTTTTATCTAAGCTGGATGTATTCAACGTATTTTCGTTTTAAGTGGGTTGAGTGTTAAACCTGACGCTCGTCTTTACGTTAGCTGCTCTCCAGCACGGCGTCCTGAAACCCAAACAAGCTAACAGAATTGGTTAGCAGAAATAGCAGTTTTATCAAGTACTTTTTAATGTAACTGATTAGAAAAAAACGTTTCAAAGTTGTTTTTTTATATTGTTGGTTGATACGTTGTCCCACAAGGTACTGTTCGTGGCTAACATTTGAGTTTTTCCGGTGAAAAGCAAACTTTGATTGTTTTGATCAAACAACTTGGTTTACGGTATTCAACATTTCATGTGGGGCTTGAGTTAGCTTTAATCCCCCATCCCACGGTGAAAGAGCTGGTGGGGGCAGCCAGACTGATGACTCCACAGGATTTAGTGGGCATTGTTGTCCGCAGTACTCTGTAACGTTCATGTTTTCTGCGTGGTTGAAAGGCTTGTGTTATGTAGAAAAAGACCTGTTGCCTTTCGGCAGATCTCTACTGAAGAGTGTACTAAAAACGTCCAACCTTTTCCAGGTGTGATTTTTAAGCAGCTATCTGAAATGGAAAACTCCACAGAGGACTACAGGATCCAGTCATTTGACGTGGACACTCAGATTTTACTGAAAACAGCCTTGAAAGGTAAATATTTTGTCTGTTACATTCCTATACGAATAAAATGTTTTAACCTTATCTAACCTTTGGAAATGTTTGCAATGTCTACATTGGAATGGTGTCCGAATTCAAAAAGCTGTCCTTTCTTTTCAGACCCAAGTTCAGTGAATCTGGAGAAGGTATCGAGTATCATTGTTGATCAGTCTTTAAAGGATCAGGTGTTCAGCAAAGAGGCTGGACGGATCTGCTACACTATTGTTCAGGTCAGTACTGACAGCATCTCTGTGGCATTTTTTTAATGAGTTTTTTAAGTTTTCATACCCAGTTATGCCTTACTGGTACTTTACCTTCAAGGAGCAGGATGGTCGTAATGAAGCATTCCTCTATTTCCAGACACTTAGCCCATTCTCCTTCCATTAAACAATGTGCTCCGACTCTCGTGATCATTTTTTCCAGGCCGAGGCCAAGCAAAGCAACGGAAACATATTCAGGAGGAGCCTGTTGAACCGGCTGCAGCAGGAGTTTAAGGGCCGCGAGGAGACGAGGGGCCGCTCGCTGCAGGAGTGGGTTTGCTACGTCACATTCATCTGTAACATCTTTGACTACCTCAAAGTAAGAGCCCCCGACAGTTAGACATGTTTCAGTGTGATTTCCCCATTGTGCCATCATATTCTTGTGTAATATTTCTCTCTCAAAGTTCTTTTTCGGTGAGGGTGTTGTTTTTTTATCTATGTGAATGGGAGAAATGTTTGAATAACTCTTTTTTGTCACTACAGTAATAGTTATCTGTACCTGTGTGTGCAACAGGTGAACAACATGCCGATGGTGGCCCTTGTGCATCCTGTGTATGACTGTCTGATGAGGCTTGCTCAGCCGGATGCTCTGATGAATGAAGTGGAGGTGGGACTATTTTTGTGTTTCAAATAAATGTGTTTCCTTCTCTAATGTGGAAGAAACCACATCACACCACTGAAATAATTCCTAAGCTTGCGCCATATTAAATGATCTATCCGACTGGTATTCCTAATTTTTTCCTTTAAGTGTTCACCCTATGATCTATTGTCAAATTTTCATCGATTTCAAGGTATTTAAGTTGAATTAATAGTGTTTCATCACTATTAAAAACTATGCTTGATGCATGATGTGGCTTCCTGGAGATCTATTTCCCTCCTCGCTCGGCAGGTGGACTGCCTGGTGCTGCAGCTGCATCGAATCGGAGACCAGCTGGAGAAAGTGAACAACCAGCGGATGGACGATCTGTTCTTCCAACTCCGGGATGGCTTCCTTCTCCAGGAGGGCCTCACCTCTATGGCCCGTCTGCTGCTGCTGGAGATCCTGGAGTTCAGGGCTGGAGGCTGGATGCTCAGCGGCACGGCACACAAGTATTACTACAGCGAAATAGCCGACTGAGCCGACTGGGGTTTTGGTTGCAAAGCGAGAGAGAGACGCAGAGCAACGGACCCCTCAAGCACATCAGACACCTTTCTCCGGTCACCAGCGGTTTTATGACAGGAAGCGGGATTTTGCAGGTAATCATAAACTGTAAAATGACTGTGATTTAGTTGATTTTTGACAGGCCTCAGCATTTGTTTATAGGACTAAGATATGGAGGATGTGGAATGTGCAATAGTTGTCAAAGTTTTGAGTTCAGTTAACACGGTGTAGCCACATTCATACACGCTGAATCTGAGGGAAGTTTCTTTTAAGGTTTGAATCCAGAGAAAGGACCTTTGTTGCATTCCTGTTTTGTTGAAACATTTCCATTTAAGCTTACCAAATCAGAGTTGGAAGAGACATTCCATTTAGATGCAAAGGTGTTAGGTCTTTGCTTTACATCTTATAGTTTTAAATCAGTTGAAAGGTGTATTTATTGTACTGGTTTGAACTGCAGTTGAGCTGTGGGATTCCTGTTACTTTTAGTTTTTCATATGAACTGTCTTATTTCAGGGATTTCTTTGTTTTGTTTTCGGGTTGCAACTTCAATAAATGACCAAAAATGTGTTTACACAATGTTCCAAAACCATTTATCTAAATTTTTAGGTATATTAGAGCTCTGGATGTACAAATAGAAAACGGTGTGCGAACACAACAAGAATGGCATTACCCAGTAAAGATGATTCCATAGAGTCTAAAGTGGTCATTTGAGGTCAGGGTGCTTTACACATCTGCACGTCGGTTAACGTCTTCAAGTCTTCAGGTTTCATCAGCACTAAGCAACACTGTTGTAGCTAAACTAAGATCATCCTCAGTGACAGCTTTATGGTGTCCAAACCGAAGCTGTGCCTTTGAGCATCTCATCTGTAAGCACTCGGGCAACGTCATCACACTTTATAATTACGTCTCTGAGATGTTCACATAAAGTCACGTGATGTAAATACGCTCAGTGCCAATGTAACATAAGATGGATTAATTCAAAGAGATACGTTTTTAAAAGTTTTTATGTTAGAAGAATTAAACATGCAGCCTTGATATTTGACAGCAGAATAAACCAAACTTATTTACTGAAAAGCATCTAAAACAGCTGTGGCAAAAATAGGTATATTTCTATATTAAACACAAGAGTCCAGGAAAGATAGGACAGTTAGACCTAATAAAGCCTGAATGTTGAGAATTTACAATGGCAATTATTAAATCCCTTAATAACAGGCCACAACCCTGACGCCAGTTTATGTACCTGGATTTTATTACAATGTTGTAATACTTTTACATTATTCTGTTCCACTTTTCTACAGTTGGCTTGTACATTGAAAGTAATGCAAATGCTCAAATAAATTTTTGAAGTTTCTTAACTCAACTTGTGTTTATTGTGTATAAACTTAATAAAAGGTTTATTGTATGCGATACAGGAGGCCGCACTCTGTGCCTTTCCTTACTGTTTGCTCCTCCTCAGGTACGTCTGACATGGCCGTCCTCCCACAGACAGGCTGTCGTTCGCTATTCACAATGGTTCTTTGAGCAGCTGTGTCTGTGCCCCTGTAGACTCGCTGAATAAATGGCGTTTTGGTCCAGATAGGCTTCTGCTTACCACCAGCGGTAGTGTGCATAGGCTCTGTTAGCTTCGGCCATCTTGTGCATTTCATGCTTCTTCTTGATAACATTGCCCTCTTTTTCAAAGGCGGCCAACAGTTCCTGGGAGAGTTTTTCATACATGTGCGTGCGTCGATGCTTATTGTCCCTACATTCTGTGATCATCCACTTCATAGCAAGGTAGCGGCGTCTGTTGTCTGTCAGTGGGATGGGAACCTGGTTAGGGTTGGAAACAAAGACAGTCTAATTAGTCATCTGTAGATTGGTGCTTCATAGACATTAGTTTAAAATGCTTTGTGTCTCCCTACTAACCTGGTAATATTTTCCACCTTTTTGGATACTAGCTAGCCCAACAACTGGTTTACAGTTCTCCAGAGCCTGGTGAAAGATGGTGTAGGGATTACACTCGATCTCTTCTTTCTTCCCCTCTGAAGCTTTGTGGTATTTCTCCACCTGTTTCTTCTTTATGTTCTCCAGGGTCTGAGGAAAACAGAGGTGGGAGGCCACCGTCAAATGAGCTTCATTCTGAGTCTGTTTAGCTCTGCTTCTTCAGATCAGAGCTCCTTTGTTTTCGATTCTTACCAGTGTCACGATCTCTCTGGCCAAAACTTTGTTTCCATCCTTCATTATCATGTTGACAAATTTACTAGAAAGCAAGGAAAAAATTGATCAGTTGGACTTCTTAACGATGAACGTTAAACAGGAAATGCCCTGTTGCAGTGAGTGCTCTACCTGACAACCGGGTCATAAAAAACAGAGCTGCTGACTCCGCTGGTGGCAGCTTTGATGGGCCGGAGGGCTTTGAGCTCACGCTCCTCCTTCTCCTCAGCACTCAACTCGGACTCTGGTTGGCTGTATGCCTCCTTCCTGACCTCAGGCTCCAGGTAATAAGGGTTGTATCTGCTCCATCTTACCAGGAACACACTATCAACAAGGGGTACAGGGGAAAAAGAGGTTTAAAAAGCTGTCATTCACTGAGGCCTCACAGAAAATTGTATTTATCATTTAAAAAATCCAGGTTCCAAAGTAGACTCTTAGATACTAAGATATATTCTACAAATCATTAAATCGAAGAATACAGACAAGGGGGTGGGGGGAATCACGTTTTTAAGTTATATAAATTATTTTCTAATTAGAATCATGCATAACGAATTAGTCAAACCTGATAATCAAATCGCAAGAAATTAATTCATATTTTTAAAGAAAAAAACATTTTGTGACTTCTATCTTTAATTGCAAAATTTGATCTTGTATTACAAATTCCGTGGTTATATAGAGACGAGGCTCTGGTACATTTTGGAACAAACAATCGCACACAAGTGCAAGAGGAAGAGTCAATGCATCTTGTTCTTATGGTGTGACAATTGTTGATTAGATATAGTGTAGAGAACTAATCGACTGCGAGAAAAAAAATTGGAATTAAGACTGCTTAAGAACCGCTGCGGTCTTGTCATCACTGTTTTGCAATGTTTAGTGATGAAAGCTGGCTTGTCTTAGTCAATATACGTTACTATAATCATTGCACAAAAAAAAGTAGGAAAAAACAACGCCATATGGATTGTTCCCACCAAATACCCTTTTAAGAAATGGGGAAAAGTCTTAAGTTAAAATAATTACCTTGGTGTCCAAGGTTTTAATAATGCTGATATGGAAGCAGCCATCTTGAAAATGTGAGCGTCTGTTAAGACCTCAAGATAGTAGGCCCGCGAGATGCCTGACACAGTGGAAGGCTGGCTTTAAAATGCAATGTCCTGATTGACTTTTTTATTTTATTAGAATAATAGATTGTGTATTTTCACCAAGCAATAAGATGAACGGTATTATATTTCTGTAATTCATTACATTTTTTTTTGCTGCCTCGCGAGCATACCGGTGACATCACACGTTGTTGTCACTGCCATGGCGTACCAAGAGGGGGAGACGCTTGAATCTTTGCTCGGTGAGTGATTAATCAGGTTGTATCGATTTCATTAGTATGCACAATTTTCTTGATAGATTGCACCGTTTTATTTAAGAAAAGACCTATCTGTTCAGAGCGTTTCGGCGCGATGTTGTCTGCGTTAGAGAAGCATCTGCATCTTTTGCCGAATGGGTGGAGATGTAACGCACCATGTCAGAGGCGCACTGAGCAGTGACAGCCCAGTATTTATGATTTACTTTGTACAGCTCCGACTGTCCTTCGTGGCATGAATGAATGAATTATTGGATGGATGCAATGTAAATAACTACAGTCATTACAAGTCGGTCGTTGAATAAGTTTGTGTAATCTTGTTGGTTGTGACTCAGACACAGATGATAGTCACATTGAGATGACAGGAGCTGATATTGAAATAATTTCTTCAGTGTTTAATTCATCATTTTCTCTTTCAACTTATTGTCCTGTATATTTACACCCCTAACTTTCAAGTAAACTATTTTACAATACCTACTTTACAGTTGTTTCTAAACATTTTTAAAGAATATGACATGTGATGAGATACACCTTATTGTACTGTAGTTACAATCACAGCATGATTACTAACATTTTGTTGCAAAAATATGATCAGATCATTTCATGTTTACATGCACTGAAAAGATTTTAAGATAAAATGTACATTATCCTTTTCAGTTGATTAAATAATTGTTTACAGTGTCACGTAACAAACTAATTATTAAGTATCGGTAACACAATTTTCATTTGGTTAGTTTATTATTCACTGTCATAACTATTATCATTGATATTCAAACTGAATGCCTCTGCTTCTATGTAATTGGCAAAGTTTCAAACACTCATAATAAACCCAGAGAAAGCTTTCTACCACAGATTCACTCAGGGAACACAGTCAAGAGCCTTTTCCAAGTCTGAAAAATATATGTAGTCTGAATGAGCATGACCCCAGAGTTTCTAAAAGTGAAGCCCATCTCAAGGAGTTAAGTTCCAGCCCCAATGCTGTGTGTTTCAAATGATATTCTGTTGGCGTTGCTCCATATTAAACTCCAGCTCTGACTCTCTCCCTTGAGGCAAAGTGATGTTATATCTCAAAAGCATGTTTGCACCCTACAGGGTCGGCACAACAAGGTCTTGGACTTGGACTGCTTCCTAACTCACTGACTTTGAATTTCCTCTTTGAAAACAATTGGACCCTTGTGTTACAGCTTACTGTTACTTCTTTAGAAGCCCATCAATGCTAAGGAGCCAAGAATTAGCTACCACTTAACATGCCAGTTTATTTATCATATTTTTCTTTCAGGCAAAGCCACCCATCCAACAAACAGACAAGAGGATTGGGAGTACATCATGGGCTTCTGCGATCAGGTCAACAGGGAATTTGAAGGGTATGTAAAATACATACATTTTCCTCCAAAGCAAATCAGCTGTAATATTTCATCTGGATTTCCTTTTTCAGCCCTCAGACAGCTGTTAAGCTGCTTATTTGCAAAATCTACTACTCTCAAGAATGGGAAGCGCTTCAGGCTCTAACAGTAAGAAAGTTTTTTTTAAATATATATTGGCTGTCCCAACCTTTAAACTGCTATAAATATCTTGCTTTTAGGTGTTGGAGGCATGTATGAAGAACTGCGGGAGAAGATTTCAGTATGAAGTTGGAAGATATAGATTTTTAAACGATCTGATAAAACTCGTCTCTCCAACGGTGAGCTGCCCTTAAGTTGTTCAGAATTGTACTCTTTTTAAAAAAAGCTAAATTTTCATCCCTTTATATCTCTAGTATGTGGGCAACAGTACGCCTGAGAAGGTGAGGAGGAAGATTGTTGAGATGGTGTACAGCTGGACGATTGCCTTTCCCAATGAAACCAAGATCAAAAAAGCCTACCATGCCATGACAATTGAAGGTGTGTGTCGTTGAGTATTGGATCATAAGGGGACATGATTGGCATTATATGTGCGGGAGTACAACTGCCACCCCCTTAAAGTAGGCTAATTTATCCAGTCTTCGTTCTCTCATCAAGGCCTTGTGACGCTGAATCCGGATCAACCTGTGGACAGGACCCTGATCGCCTCTCCTCCACCGCGACCTAAACACCCGGTGTTTGACAACGAGGACATGGGCAAGGTGACTGATTTGTGTAAATAAAAAGCACTGTGCACGCTCCACACTGTTGCGTGTTTCTACATGTTCATGTTTGTGTGCGTGTGTGTGAGTAACTGTGCAGCTGCTTGCTGAGCTTCTCCGGAGCAAAAATCCAGAAGACCTTCAGGAAGCCAACAGATTAATAAAGAATATGGTGAAAGAGGTGAGATGCGTCAGAGCTCTGCGCACGCTGAACTCCGAGCTCCCATTTGTTTGACCCTTCTTTCTCTGACCGAGTGTTGTGTGTGGCTGGTGTCAGGATGAAGTTCGGGTTCAGAAGTTCACGAAGCGAGTGCACACTTTGGAGGAGGTGAGCATCAACGTCAGGCTACTGACTGAGATGTTGTCCCATTACAGTAGAAACATCGCGAGCGATTCAGATAAGGAGATCATTAAGGTGTGTACCCACTCAAACAGACACCGTATTGAATACATGAGAACGTACTAAAAATAGATCATCTAAGCACATCATTCATCCTCACAGGAGCTCTACGAGCGCTGCGACAAGCTGAGGAGTACCACGTTCAAAATGGCCACTGACACAGAGGACAATGACGCCACTTTAGGTTTGCCGGATGGGTATTCTTCTTCTTTCATAAGTATTGTCTTAATCTTCTCCGTGTTATTTTCTATCATTTGTAAGCTGCTGTCCTTTAACTCAACAGGGGACATCCTCCAGGCCAGTGATGATCTTTCCAAAGTCATCAACTCCTATAAGAAAATATTTGAGGGGCAGCCTGACAGCGAAGAGCCTCCATTAGCTGGTCAGAGTGGAAGCGGTGACACGCGCTCTTATTATGTTGGCACATTTTTATTCTGGCATTTTAAATCAGTTCAGCCTTTTTCTCTCTTTGCTTCTTCGATTCAACAGAAATCACAGATACACTGGTGGACCTCAGCGGGGTTGACACTCCCAGCCCTCCTCAGCCCGCTCTCCCTCCCCCCCAGTCCTCACCCCCTGTCTCCCACAAGCCCTCAGTATCCAACATCCCTTTCTTGCCTCCCCCTCCCAAAAGCCTGGCTGGCTCCTATGGTCGGAGCAGAAATCCAAGTCAACCTTCTCTGGACAAGACCTCCTCTGCACTCTCTTTACTTGACGATAAGCTGCTGTCTCTTGGTAGAATACTCTTAGGAAACATGATTATTCAATGAAATGAGTCACCATTTCTTTCAAAGTACTCTAAAAACATGTTTAATGCATTGTGTGCCAGTTGCTTGGCAACTGCTCTCTGAACACAGTCCAGACTATGATTAAAACAAACCCTTTTTTCCTTTCCTTCCTTTTTTCTAAGGCCTTTGTCCTTTTAATTAATAAAAATTGTACTTTTTTCCAGACATGAATGACCCCCCTACCTCTCTGAGCAGCCAGACAGAACCCAAGCTGGATGAACTCTCCGCTCAGTGGACTTCTTTGCAGGTTTGTCAGATATGATTAAGCATAGAAATGTGCTCAGCGTGCAGCAGGGGACTGAAATAGTCTCGCCTCTGCTTGGCGTCCGCAGGCCCCAGCAGCTAGCATGGACATGTTGGGCAGTGCTGCGTGTCTAGATCCAGTAGTGCCACCAGTAGAACCGGCCGCCGCGCACGGCCTGCAGAACCTGCATGATCTAGCCATGATGTGCTTCTCAGATCAGCAAAGGTAAACTCCACGATTTCAATGTGGTTTATTCATGAAAAGCATTTTGACAGAGGTGTCATTGGAGCTCTTAACAGTCTAATGTCATGTGTTTCCAGACAAAATAGTAACAACTCTCACAAACATCTTGAATGTTATTTTTAAAGATTGTCCAGCCAGATGACGGCCAAAGAAGGTGGCTTCAGGAAGCAAACTGCAACACCCCCACTGTTACCCGGCCAGGGCTCTCCCTCCACGTCCTCATTTCTGCACAGCGCAGTGCCCGGATCTCCCGCCATTTCCCATTCCAAAGCCCAGAGCCTGGACATGGCCCCCGGCAGTCCTTTGTTCCACTCTCTGTCCCCTTGTCACCGACCTCTCCATGGCAGTCCCATCAAAGGCCCAGACTTCTCCCTCAGCAATGTGCACGTCCCACTGGAGACCATCAGACCCAGTAAGACCACCTGAGATGAAGCAACAGACTTCCCGGAGAGCTGCGTGCTGGTTGTGTATGACAGCGGCTCAAAGGTTGTTTGTGTCTGCCCTACCTGTCTGTCCTCAGGTAAAGTCTTACCGGTGACCGCCTATGATAAGGACGGCGTTCGCGTGCTGCTCAACTTCGCCTCTGACTGCCCCCCCGGGAGGCCCGACGTGCTGGTGATGGTGGTGTCCATGCTCAACACGGCACCCCTGCCTGTTCACAACGTGCTGCTGCAAGCTGCTGTGCCCAAGGTGATTAATGATAATTCATTCATTGTTTATTCTGACATCTTGTACAAAAAACACAAAAGCTGAGATGCTAATGAAATACCTCTTTTCACAAAGAGCATTGAGTCCAAACAGACAACTGGCAGCCGGATGAATGTATCGACTGGAATAGAAGTTTAGGATTTAAAAGAAGATTATGTGTTTGAATGAAAAAAATCCAATGAATGGATTTTAAAGCAAACATTTTCTTTTTTGTAATATTTTTCATTGCATCTCTTTCTTTGTATATTCATTAGTGCAGACCATCTGTTCTGATCCTCTTTAGGGTTGATGCAGGAAAATCTTTGAGAGGTGTCAGCATTGGTTAGAGTTTTCCCACTTGTGTCTCTTCAAGAAAGCCACGGAAAAAAATCCCATCTGCAAAGATCTTGGCGGAAAAAAATTAATACAGAAAGAAAAATTCTGTTCTTTTTCTCGTCTTCCAACAGTCAATGAAGGTGAAACTCCAGCCCCCGTCAGGAACAGAGCTGGCGGCGTTTAACCCCGTCCTAACCCCGGCCTCCATTACCCAAATCATGCTGCTTGCTAATCCAGCAAAGGTAGGTGGCATAAGAACACCATGAACCTCTTAGCTATAGGCTTAACGCTGTGAGGGAGAGACGGTGGGATTCATGCAGCGTTTGTAATCTGACAGGAAACCGTGCGCCTGCGCTACAAGCTGGGATTCACACTGGGAGACCGTCAGTGCAATGAGATTGGAGAGGTTGACCAGTTCCCGCCACCAGAGACCTGGGGTCATCTATAGCAGCCCGAACACACCTGCTGCTACTCAAGAGGGACGGGCGGGAATTTACTCCATGAAGGGATGTGCATATCTGTCCGATTGGAAAAATAGAAAAATAGAAAGTGTTCAATCCCTGAGAGATAAGACAGGAGGGTGGAGAACTTCAGCTACTCTCTCCCTTTCAGCTTTACATTCCATATAGCTGTTGATGTTTTTTACCGCTACGAGAGCCAAACAGAAAACACTTTTTATTTTGCTTTTACGCAGATCGAAAACAAAGCAAAGGCACCAAGTAGTGGAAAGTCAAGCAGTGAGGGTTAAGGTTTGGCTCCCTGAGTCATTTGAATTTAGTCAGTAGTGGCTTTTCCTTTAAATGAATCTGAGAGAGATCTGAGAGATTCGTGGATTCTAATAAATCAGTAAATTAGAATCGTGGGAAATGATGCAGTACATGAGAGCAAGAAACTTACCTTGAAGTGAAAAGCGTAAGAACCAGCAGACCTGCTTGCATTTCCTCTACTGCCTGAACTGAACCGCCTGTGAGAAATACTTGAATATATCCAGAGATGTGAAAATCTGGGTCGATGTAGTTTATATGGAGATTTCAATCACATCATTTAAAACGTGGATTTTTCTTCTTCATGAGTGAATTGTTTTACCATAAAACTAGATAATGTAGCCATGTGCCAGATCAGCTGATGATGTGAACAGCACTTTGAGTCATTTAAAACTGCAGGTGAGCCGTATTGACATGAGTCCAATGCTTTTTAGTCTTTTAGTTAAACTTCGTAGAATAAATGGAATATTATTTTCGGAGATCGTCAGTATTTCAGTTCTTTTGTGCTGTGGACACTTTCTTTCTGCATTAAAATGTATTTATTGCCGGTGTATGATCAGTATTTATTGATATTTTGTCATGTTGTGCTATTTCAGTGCATCTTTTACTTGATGTGAATAAAGCCTGATTTGAAATCCGTCATCAGTTAGATTGCTCTCTAGTGCTTGTTTACACAAGGCTCTGCAGAGCGCACGCCTCATTTATCAATCAAGACAATACCCCCTTAACAGGACTCGTATCCCTTACTGTGTTTTTCGCCTGGATGTGCAACTGTCTTAAGAAGTCAAACTTTGGAATATTCTGTGGTTTATTCGAATGTGCTTTTCTGAACTGTCATGGCTTCAAAAATTATTTTCGAGGAAATTTAAAAAGTGCAGAAGGGTCTGAATGATTTGAATCCTGTGTGCATCCCATGTCTGATAGTCTGCCACTCAGAAGTCTGATGATTTAATTCACATATTGTGTTATGGACCTGCTGTTCTGTGAGCACCTGATGGGCCATTTCTTCGCTGCTTGTCGACAATAAAAAATTCTCAAAGAAGGTTTTTGACAGGTTATTGTAACATACAGAAGGCACAATCATTAAAGATCAGGTATCCACATCTTCAAGTATTTTATTATCAAAAAACATGTTTGGATTACTTGATTTTTTATATACAGTACAAAAATGCAAAAGAAAGGATTTTATCATAAATGTCAACTCTCTCATGAGTCCACTGTTCCCTCTTTGACGATAGCCGTGGCCAGATTCCTGGCCAGAGCGAGTCGCAGGAGCTCCACATTGGTCAGTTCTACGTCGTCATCCTCCTGCTGAAAAACAATTCTGCTTAACTCAGAGGCAAAGCAGTTTTCAGGTCATAGATACTGCAGTAGATAAGCACTTCAATGAACAATTACAGATAGATGTTCAAATGTAACCAGAATGTTCTTCAGTGGGAGACCTGATCAAAGCACCTTTTGTAGCAGCATAAAGGCTGTGTGAGGACATCGTACCTGCATGGGTTTGTCTGTGTCTGGAGCCGCTGTGTTTAGCGAGGTGAGCTCCTCCAAACAAAACATCAGCTCGTAGGTCTGTTCTGCTGAAAAGATCACCTGAAAAGAAGAAATGAGTGCTACATGTTAGCGTTCAGTGAAGACGGGATCGGTAAAGAGAAAAACAGACAGTCAAATGTTATTCCTTCTTTCTCTCTCCAGACTGAGGAGGAAGGCAAAATGCATCAAGTTTAGTTCATACCTACAGAAAGGACCGTTTTGAAGACAAAATTGTTTAGCCTGAACCATGAAGGACTCATATTTTAATGATCTCTTGTTAATTTACCAATTTAGTTAAAAAAAATAGGCAAGCTCTTTTCCATTGAATTGTTTGGTTTAATAAGAATAAACCTTGTATTGTTTTCCTTTCCATGTGACTGTTAAAAATGTGTACGTTCCATTTCTTAAGGAACATACAGAGACAGGACATTTGGGAGACTAAAACCCAATTCAGTTTCATGGGGGACCCCGGAATAGAATCACAGCTTAGAGGCGTTTTGATTCATGTGTAATATTTCAAAGTTTAGACAGGCAACACTGATACCTGATAAAGATATTTATTACTGGCTTCATTTCTGTTTGCCTGAAGCTGAAGACCTACTTTTATAATATAAAGAAACAGTCTTGTGCCTTCTCTTGCTTATGGAGCTTAATAAAGAAAACAATGTTGAGCACACAACTCATGAATGAAATGTTTAATTTTTGTTCTAACTGAGGAAATGTTCCAAATAATATCTGCAATAAGTCACTGATATTAAATACCATTTCTCGCCCTCCTAAAAAACAAATCTATCATGTCCAGGAAGCCTGCAGTTGACTGACCTCCTTCTGCTCCAGCAGTGGCAGAGCATCAGTCAGCAGAGTCATCCAGAAGCTTTGGGGAGCAATCTTGGCTGTCATGAGCGAGAGGAGCAGCTTTCCAGCCTCCCTGAAACGCTTCTCTCCGTACAGTTTGTGGAACTCGCGGTACTTCCCTGAAGAGTGAGAAGAGAGCGCTGCGCTTTAGACTCAAATGGGTGCACACAGATCTGATTGCATCTTTAAACAGATTATATGTTTCTATTATCAATTTCCTCTAACCTTCCACAAGTCATTTCATGTGCTGATTATTAGGAGATTTTCTGTCTGAAACTTCATCAACAGCCGAAAGATTTTTGTCGATTTTTTAAATTTTTTTTACAGCAAAATTTTTTTACCAAATGCTCCTACAATAAGACTCAGCATCACATGCTGCTGCATTAAGCACAACACTGCCCTGTTTTGATCCCTGATGACACATGTTTCTAAGTCTGAGGCTCATGTGATCGCCAAAGAAAGAGATGGGCTGTCCAGGACTAAATCTTCTCTAACTGAATGTTCTGGCGCCTAATGTGTGTACTGAACTTGTGAGAGCGATGCAGCGAGCACACAACGGAAGCTGTACCACGGATCTCGTGTGCGTGTTTGTGTGACTGTTCCCTGCTCATACCAAGGAAAGTCAGCCTGTCGCTGAGCAGCATGGCCGGGCCCAAGTTGTCAATCAGATCCAGATCAGAGAAGGTCCCTCTGGCACAGTAATCCTGTAAGAACCTAACATACAAAGAGACTATTTAGAATCCTCTTGGAGGATGCAACCTTTTAGAAAAGTGAGGAAAAAAAGGACGCCACAAGGCTGTAATTTATCTCAGAGTTCAAAAACCACAGCTTTGAATTTGTTTTTAATCATCCAAATGAAATCCTCCACACTGCAGTGTGAAAGATCCATGTGCAAGTCCAATAATTCTAAGATTTATTACAACGTAATATCTTAAATTAGTTCAAGAGTAAGACTGGAGAAATGACATCAAGACTTTCCCCCTTTCCTGAACTCTTTCAATGTTTAAAGAGATGCACTGTTAAAAGAACAAACCTCTCTGAGATGAGGGTGGCAAAGGCAGCATCTTTGGCCCTGATGCTCCAGGACAGAGCAGAGCCCAGTCTGTTGTTCCTCAGAGCCCGCATGGCCATGATCTTACAGATACTCCGCACTGGATCAAACAGACCATTCTTTTTTTATATTTTAAACTTTTGTCTGTGTACTTCTGTAACCAAGGCGGGCTTAAAATGAGAAGAGGACAAAATGTTACCTTGCTCAGACATTTGCCTCTGCTCACAAATCCGGAGGACTTTCAGGGCTTTGCGCTCCGTGTCCAGAGGGACACGCTCGATCTGCAGCTCAAGGTTGACCCGACCAAACTCTGGGCAATGGTCGAAGTAATCCACAGCCAGCTGCCACAGACTGGACACAATTTGTTTTTAAAAGCACATCCTAAGACAATTTCCATGCTATGGAGACAGCTTCTATTCCAGGCTTCCTTTTTCCAAAGTTTGACAATCATAATGAAATGTAACTGTCTTATACCTGTGATGAGTGAATAGGCCAGAAGCATATTCTAACAGGAGAAACTCCCTCAAGTTGGAGCCAAAGCTGGACACACAAACACACAGAGAGCTATTAGACAAACAAGATGCAAAATCTTGTCATGTTCGGATGAAAAAAAAAACAGACAGAATCCTTACTGTAGATTGTGTGACTGGAGGAGTTTACAATGATCCAAGAGGTCTGTTAAATGTGCGGCAAACCACCAGTTGTTGAGAGCAATGCTGCAAACACATCAAAGAAATCGAATGTAGGCAAAGTCCGAGCTCACAAACCGCAGATGTGTGTGGTTCAGTAAACGCTGTGTGTGTTTGTGCCCACGTGTGGCTGGATGTACTCTAAATGTCCCACCTGCAGTCCTTGATAACCTGATGGATGTCGAACTCAAAGGCAGCCAGCAGGATACTGTCTAGAGGCTCTGGGACGCTCCTCGAGTCCAGAAACATCGTCAAGCATGACTGCGGAGCACACAGAGACACAGGCGCTGGACGACAGTCACGGCAGCGGCGGACACAAACGGGGCAGAACGTGGCCTACCTGAGCGTAGTAATGCAGCTCTGTGGGTTTCACCGTGGGGTGGCAGTAGAGAAGTCTCGTGACAAGGAAGTGATACCAGGTGCTCAAAAGTTCCTTGTGCTCCAGTAAAGTATCTTCATCACCCAGTAGAATCTGTATAACATAAGAAAACAAAATCATTATTATTGCTTTCATTTAACCTAAAAAAAAATGAAAAAAAGAGAAAAGCTTGTAGTAAAAAAGCATAAGACACAAAACAACGTTTTTTGATTGCATCAAGCACCAATCACAGAACAAAGGCTGGATGATACCAACCTTGCAGATGAGCTCCAGATGCTTGTTGCTGGCAAATGTGTTGTCCTGCAGGCAGCGCGTGACCTCCTCATGCCAGTGCCTCCACTTCACATCAAACTCAGTCAGCGTCTGATTCCCACCGGGCTGAAAAATTTGTATAATGACGATGTGTTGGTGGTCAGGACTGTGGGCAATTGAAGTAATAGAAATACAAGAATATACCGGTACAAGCTAATTTTTCTGAAAAAAGTGGGACAGTAAGTCCCAGAGCCAGTCATACATCACAGCATGCTTACATTGTAAAAGGGCATCTTGCTGAGCAGGCCATCCATCAGCTTGTACATATTCCTTGCGGCAGGGTGAAGGGTGGCCTGTTTCACCAGCATCTGTCTGGCTTCTTCCAACCTGCCCTGCAGCACATAACTCAGCACCTGTGCAGCACAGACACCAGAAACAGAGCAATCATCAAAGGCCAGACATGGAGCGGACACCATACGAGATCTAACTCCGCACACATGTGACACGTACCACGTCCCAGTAGTCTCGATGCTCGGCAGGGCAGTCACTCTGAAGCACGTCTCTGGCCTTCTCATCCACATCAGCCTTGTGTAATCTTACCCAGTCCACAAGGTGAAGCAACAGAGAGCCCGCTGTGTGAACACACACACAACTTCATACTGTTGGGAGGGTACTATCAAAATCACATATGAAAGGTATTCAAAAGATAAAACAATAGAAATAAGTTCAAATCCAGGCTCTCACCAGGAGCAGCGTCGATGAAAAGCACCTCACATAGATTCCAGATCAGTTCGATGGCCAACAGAATTGAGACCTGAGTCAAAACAAGAACCACTGAAGTTTTAGGAAAAAACCCTAACATTTATAAACTTGAAAACAATTCAGTTAACGAAAAAATAACATACTGTAGTAATAATACATGCCTGATTTCCATACTGTGTGGCCATCTCTGCATCTTTTGCCGATACTGCAAGAGAAAGGGTCAGTTAATTAGCTCTGAGCAAAAGTACAGTGAAAACTGAGATATTCTATTTTACACCTGAAAAATCTTACCTGCAACTTGTTGAAGCTCTTCCATACAGGCTCTGATCACAGATCTATAGTTTTTACTGATGCTGACAAATCTAAAGGGCAAGACAGAGATTTGTCTCGATTTAAGGCTGCATGCATACAGATATTTATACTTTATCAGCTTATGGTAATGTGCCATGACAAATGAAGGAGATTAGACGACATCTACAGGAACAGAGGCCTTACTGAGGCTTCTTGTTCTTGCTGGGGAGATCTTCTCTGATTGTCTGCAAGCCAACGAAGATGTGATGTGACTCATTAAAGAGTTTCCGTAAAATGGGGGAGTAGATGTCCTCATCTTTCCTGACTTCGCTGATGAAGCGGCCTGATCCTGAAGCACCTAAAAAACAGCAAGACAGCAGAAACAGGGACGAATGTGAAGAGGCAAAAAGATACAGGTGGGATTCCATAAATATTAAAACATACCTGGATCTTTATATTGGGTCTCATATACAAGGATATCACCGGGACCCCAAGCAAAGCCCATATGCTTCCCATGTCGGACAGCAGGGATATTCTGCATTTCAAGAGCGAACAATGAATGAATACACAGAAACAAACTGTCATAGTAAGTTGCAATAACTTGTTTGTGTCAATGCATGTGAGCAGCTGCCCAAAATAAATACAAGTAAATCATAACAGGAAGACTTCCATGTGTTGTCATTTTTAATTGAACACGTATTGGGCATGCATTGACTAATTCTAACATTTATAAGAACTCTACTAAGTTATCAGCCCCTAAACAGGAAGTACACCCAGATGTTGCATTAAAAGTGTGCTGATAAGAATCAGGAACCAGTCACAGTTACCAATGACTGCAACCCAACTTTTAGCTTTTTAAACAGAAGATCACTTTAACTACTCACAATTTAAGCAGTATACTTAACTAATATGTTTCAACTCAACCTGCAGCTTTATGTGTATTGAATTTCTACGCTGCTGACAACTTGAATGTTGTTCGTTGAATGTTTATTTTTCTGTCATTAAACAGCTTCCTAATAACATACCAATTAAGACTTCATGATTTTAAACAGGTCGTCAAGATACAGCTAGCTTGGTAGCTGCCATTCGGCGTGTAAAACTACGCTACAGAGATCACTTACAGTAACTGCCGGCTCAACGTCTACCTCCTCCATCAGGAACAATATTATAAGTACAATTAAAAGCTAAACTGTGAAGTTATCCACTAAGAAAACATGCCATTAAACACATGTGCAGTGCTACACGGCTTACGCGCCTCTCTTTCACTCGAATGGCTCTGCTGCGCATGCGCCACAAACGTCAAAGAGAGCTGCCCTTTTCCATGCCTGTTTTTTACTTCAATCGCGATTATCTCACGATTCGCTTTTGTTGCTCAACATAGACACAGCGAGAAGACGAAAATACCCAGAAGTCCAAAGATTTGAGGAATCAGTATTGCCTTTAAGAAAAGAGATCCTAAATTATCAAATCGTGGAAAATGTCATTATAAGTTAAAAACATTCAAGACATGTCAATATATTATTGTAGGAACCATTTAAGAAGATGCTGATTTGATCCTTTCCCACACATAAGTTAGATAATCATTTGGGTTTGCCCATCTTCTTCACACAAAAACAAGATGGCCACAGGGATTTAAAGGGTTAAAAAAAGAACAACATATAATGGACAGATAGATGGCAGTTGCGCCATGCGATGATGTAAACTGAACAGCGTGTCACTATCGTGAGGTCACAAGAGTGATGAAGGGCATACTTTGGAATATTTGCACGCTCACATTTGAATGTAAAACTGAAAACAGCGCTGTGCGCGTGCACGTGGAGCTGAGCGCCTCAGTAGCGCGCATGGGGGACTCTCCCGCCCATGCACAGACTGCGCTTTCAGCCTCGTGACTACTTGTAGCCACTCAGGGCCGCACGAGGTGGACGCGCACTTGCCCGTGAACGCGCACGTTCGGTAGGATCTTTTATACGGGAGTGCGCACGTGCGCGTACCCGTATTCTTTGTGTGGCAGCATAGAGAACCGCCAAAAGAGTGACCATGGCTGATGAAAAACCGAAGGTGAGTCTCTCTACTGTGTACTGAAATAGTATTGTTTTTCTCTGGGTCTATGATAAACATTGTTTAAGAAAAAGGGGCAGTTACATACGTTTAGTTTAGCTTTTTTTTTGTAAAGTTGAGTACTAGAAATCAACTATCAGATGTACCTACTTTGATAGACCGGAAGGTTCGTGAACGCGCATTTGCAGGCGCGCAGATTGCTTCTTGCTCTATCGCATTCAGCCAACCAGCTGGTGTTACTGCGAGTGCGCGTGCGTGCGTTTGAGTGTGCGTGTGACAGAGAGGGAAAGGTTTATACAGTGTGTGGGGGGTTTTTGTGCAAAAGGGGAGTTTTTAAACTGGACAATGCTACACATTACTAAAAGGTGTATTACAATACAGCTACAATCAGCACTTAAACTAAGTAAAAGCTAACAAGAGATAAGCATTACATAATTTTAGATGGTATAACCAAATTCTGTTTTTGAATCTATTGCGTTTTTGGTCATTGCTCTTTTTTTCTGTTCACAACTGCTATTGATGGAGCTTGACATTTTCAGGGAATTTCTGCATGGACAGAAGCTATATAATTCTTATTAACAGGAAACAGATGTTCAGCTTGGTGGCTCAGGTTGTGGCCAAGATGTTTTTCAGCTCCATGAAAGTTCTATTTTCCAGTTTTCCGTGGACTAACAAACCATGACTCCGGTTCTACATCACCCTTTGTGTTGATTGCTTTTTTTTTGCAGGAGGCAGTCAAGACAGAAAACAATGAACACATAAACCTGAAGGTGGCAGGTCAGGATGGATCTGTTGTGCAGTTTAAGATCAAAAGACACACGCCGCTCATCAAACTCATGAAGGCCTACTGCGAGAGACAGGTGGGCACGACCTGCTGTCCTTACATGTGTATCCCCAGGAAGCAACTAATCGCCAAGCTGTTTTATTGCACTGCGGTTCTTTTTAGTTCACTTTGCATGGATTTGTATTTGTTTAGTCATTTAGAAGTACGTTAGATAGATAAAGGTTCATTTGAGGCTTAATACTGCAGGCACATCCAAAAGACACATCTTCTACAAGGCATGTTGGCACTGCAAGATGCTACAAGATCAAATATATAATACAAGCCAGATGATGCTCGTTAAAGAGTCATCCATCATGGCCATAGTTTCCTTTTTTTCTCTCTGATAGATGAATTATTTACAGGCATGAAGGGGCCCAGAGTCAAAGTAACTCCTCTATCACAAACTAAAAGACATTTGCACCGTTCTCCTTACCTTTTAAACCACACTCTCATAGCAATACACATATTACATGTTAACTTGTTGGAAAAGCAGGAAGACATGACTAAAAATTCATTTGATTTTCAACTCATTCAACCAGGAATTGAAAATGCAAAAAGAGATCTTTCAAGAAATGTTTATGGTAGTGTTTCAGTCTTATGGGCGGTATTTCTATGTACAGTATCAGAATCAGAAATACTTTACCAATCCCAGAGGGAAATTATTTTTCAATTGAATGTGTCGTCATTTTCAAATGTTATGTTAATGTTTATTAGTGTCGATTCCGTTTAAGATATGTCAGTTGGGTAGATGTAAGAAACAAAAACATTGCTTATGAACTGAAAAGTAAAAGTTGTTTTTTTTGTGTGTGTGTGTTTACAGGGACTGTCGATGAGGCAAATCAGGTTCAGATTTGATGGACAACCAATAAACGAGACAGATACACCATCACAGGTACATCTGAAGCTTAAAACAATGAGTACTTGCTCTGAACCAATCACCGATCATAGGGATGTGTATAGGAGCTTTGAGTTACCCTATAGCCCCAAGAATCTGTGTAAAGCACTTATTTATGTCTCACGTAATTTACACTGACTTTTAAGAAGAAAATGTAGTTGAATATATGTTGTGTTGCAAAACCCTGAAAACTAAAGTATTTTCCATGCTGTAAAATACACAAGTCCACTGGAGGCTCTGCCTAACTCACCAGCTCCAATGTATTGTACTAACAGGACAAACGGACCTCAGTTTGTTTTGACTGAAGCTACCCAGTTAGGTGTGAAATGTCATTTGAAATAGTTGTATAACTTTCCAGCTATAAAGTAACTTTTACAAAAAATAAAGTACAAAGATCAACCTGCCTGTTGAGTTTTGGTAGAAATCAGTTAGACATGTTTTAACAAGTTTGAGCCGCTCAAAAGAATCTGTTTTTAAATCTAAGTAGAGGTTTTAAAAAATGTACATCATACATCATTAATTGTTCGAAGCATTTATATTTATTAAAAAGCATTTAAGCTTCATGTACTGAAAGATAACACAGTTTTCATTTCTATAAAGTAGAATGAACTACTACATTAACTATGTAAATGTGGTCTTAAGAAAAACATACATTTGCAGGCCTTTTTTTAGAGCTGTTTCAATTTGCAAGTCTTCTAAATACTTGTTGGGTTTTAAGTTATAATAATACACACACAACCATTGTCTTTAAGCATCTCAATTATTGCTGTTGTGGTACATGTATTACAACCTTTGTAGCCTGAAGTCGGTCACAAATCATGTCTTTGAGCAGGTCACAGTGCTGACATAGGGAGCATGTAATGCCTCAGGCTGGAAGAATGCACTAAACTGAATCTTGTCTGGTGCATTTGGTTGAATTTGTTTCTGTGGACAGATGCCAGTTTCCCTCCATCCAGTGTGCTTTTGAAGTGGTTACATCTTGTTGTTGTATATTTTTGCAGTGCCAGGCATGTCTGTCTGTTCGTGTATCAGCAGAGTTCAATAGAGGGTCATATTTTGTCATATTTTATTCTATTCTATTATGACACTATGTAAATTGACCTTGAATACGGCATGGTGTCACTCACACAACCTAAAAACTCGACATTTGACTTTTGCTCTTCTGTATTGTTTCATAATGATGATAAGTTGGCTGAAAAAAGAAAAAAGAAATATATTTATATACATGTGGAAAATATCATTGTGAAGGTTCATCTGACACATTTTTTGTTTTCTTAACAGTTGGAAATGGAAGATGAAGACACAATTGATGTGTTTCAACAACAGACGGGAGGCTTGTTTTAATCAACTCCATATGACACCATTTTCATCCTCAGATCATCCAACGAAGCCCAGCCTGAGACCCAGTGGCTGGTTTCTTCACAGCTCAAACTGTCTCTACAGAATTCCATGCAGAGGAAGTTTATATTTCTCTGCAACACTTAACTGCTGTATAATATTTTTATTCTTGCCCCTGTTGCTTTCCTGTCTTTGTACATAAACTACATACAGATCACATTGGATTCTGGTTTTGTTTGTTCATGCTGTGTCGTGGTAAATGTGGAGGTAAAAGATCAAATATTGATCACATATTGTTGAGAGAGGCATGGTCATTGTTCAGCAAATATGCTCTTATAAATATACACATTTGGGACCGGCTGTCACTTAGTGATTCATACCATAGGCCCAGTTTGGGAATGGGTTTTGGTATTTACTTTCTTTTTACAATTTATTTTTTCTTTTCTTATGTTTTTACATTTTTATATAGTACTGGATGTTTAGAAAAGTGTTAACCATTTTACCTGCCCGTCAAATAAAAAATTTGGGAAGCCTGAAGAGATGTTTCAATTCAAAAAGCATCTGTATTGTCTATTAAATGCCTGTTAAATAAAGATATTGTCTTTTTTCCAAACGTTCATTCATTTTGTTTGCTTTTTCCTCAAAGACGTTAATGAACAAATAGTTAAAATTGTTTGAATTTTTTCCGTTAAAGTATGGTCCAGCGACCTTTTCAGGTGGAGGTTAAAGCTTATCCACGAAATATAAAACATTTTCGCTGATCTGCCTCATGGATCCTTACTTTGACCACTCACATGAATCTGAGACCTGCTACCAACAAGAGTCGAACGCAGAGGTTCTGTCCAATGAGAGCAGAGTTCTGTGGTGTTCTGTCCAATCAGAGCGGGTCAAATGCTGGTGGGATGGGTCTCATGGGCTGGCACCGCAGAACCAACTGATCTGGTCCTCGTTATGTTTTTCAGTATCGGGTGGAGTCTACATCCCGTCGCATTTCTGCGGGCTAGGAGGAGGATTACTTTTTTATTTTTTTTATTAGTTTGACTGTTTCTTACCGCCCGAACATTGAAATACTCCCAAACGATGACGACCACAACCACCTATCAAGGAATGGACCCTGGTGCTAAAAGCAGTTCCAGGTAAAAGGAGCTGAAAACCTTCCACGGAGGAACAAAAGAAGTGGGATGCGGGCAAGCCTTTTTAGCTAGCAAACGCCTGGTTTCTTTTTTTTTCTTTCCTTTTACTATCCAAAGGCGGACTGCTGCCTATATTAGCCCGCTTGAGATGGGGAGGGATATTTCTGGATTGAGCTAAACTGTCACATAGTCTCTCTAATTGAGTTAATCTTATTGGGTCGCAGAGGCACCATGCCCTTTACACACACTAACTTAGTTAGGTTAGCCTATGTGGGCTTTGGTCATGTCAGTTCTCTAGAAAGGGGACAACACAAATTGTCCAACGGGGTTTTTCATTTCCCTTAAATCAAGAAGGGGGTCAAGCTTCGTAAAGTCGAGCCTCGGCTGACTTATCGACAGTGAAATAACTTTTTTTTTCTGCAGTCTTAAGTCGCTGCTCTTCCCCCGTGATTTCCAAATGAATTAATTCAAGCTAGCACAATGTTTTACTTCTCCATTTTGTCCATAACCCTTATCTATTGACTAGAGGCTGTTCATTTGGACTGCTTAATCTAAGCACGTGATTTCTAACAGGAGGGATCCATGGCTAGACTTGGATCTGGGTATGTCGTTATGTCTGATGTGGTCAGGGCGCATGGAAGTTACACAAACGAATTCAGGGTGATTTTGATGCGTGTCTGCGCTATAGTGTGTGCACAATTAGTTGTGCGTGATCGTGAATGGGAAAACCACCTGAAGACTCATCCTCCAAGCATGCAGTCGCTGCCTTCCTGGAAGTGATGCGTATCGTCTGGATGCATTCCTCCCCCTTTAGCTGAGAAAAAGAGTGTAAAGAAGCCTTTTAAATGATGGCTGCCTCCGCGTGCCTCTGGGCGTACAGATTACTTTTTTTTTTGTTGGCATTTTAAGGGAGAGAAACTGGTGCTGCCACTTTGCTGAGTGGGCATGTCAAATGTCGGTCAGTCATCGAGCGATGTGAAGTGGGATGCTGCAGGGACTTGGGTGGGGGCTAGCTAAGCCTGTAAATCTTTCCTTAGCGCTCTGCTTTCGGTCCTTAAAGCCCCTGTTTTTACCAGCTGCCGGTCATTTCTGCTGCTGTCTGACCAGAGAGGTCTGGAGAGAAGCTCGTCTTCCAGAGACCAGGCCGAAATCTTAGTAGGCCATCAAAGATGTCCTCGCCTGCCTTATCCGACACGCCATCTCTGGCTGTGGATTTCTCCCTTCTGCCCTGACTTTTGCCTCCCAAGTTATCGCCCCCCTACTCACGAACCCTTTCAGTTGATAATATTTGCAATTTAAATCTAGGGTGGGGTCTGTCTGCTGCCATGTTTTCCTCGTCGCATTCCGCGTGGAAACCATGAGCTCATCTTTTCTGGCGAGGAGTTGAAGTCTGGTTTAGGGATTATTGTCACAGCCCTGTGTGATGGACCCCAGTGTGCGCTGAAAAAAAAAAAAAAAAGAATAGAAAGGAGTGAGAGGAGTCGTGCCTGCATAGGCCACGCTGTGCGGATTTGCCTGTCGTTGCTCTCTTTGTACTTTGTTGGACTCCATCTGCCAGCCTGGCCCTTGGGCAGCTGCTCCAGTGTGTCAGCTGGTGGCTTCTGTGACTCTGAAGATAGGAGAGTTTGCTGGAGAAAAAAAAAAAAAGAGGGATGGGTTTAACATGGGCTGTGCAAGCACATGTATGTCTGTCACCCTCCCCGAGCCTCCTCCAGCACAGCACGTAGTGTCCCTACACGTTATGGGGCTCCTTTTTTTTTTTTTTTACCGCTTCTGGTAAAAAGGAATGTTGCAGGAAAGTAGCCTTTCCTTTTTTTCTTTCACGAGTCTGCTTCCTGGATTGTTCCAGAACGCTGATATTATGTGACCTATTTAACCGGGGGCCTTAGATCTTTCACTTCTTTTGAGCAACACTGACCTAAAATGGGGCTGAACATCAGTTATTTATTAGCTGTGCACAGATGATTGTATCGGAAACGGACACCAGCCCTTTGTATTTCACTGCAAAGGAATTTGCGCTGCGGAGCTGCTGCTAGCCAGCTCGCTCTCTTACTATATGTGACTGGAGTCAGCTGCAGGGCAGAGATTGTTACTGTCTGACAGGCTGACAGCCGTGGCTTAGAGAGCGGAGACCACACTGGTATCTGCTGTGGTTTTTTCGGTGCGTCTGGTATGTGCATGAAACAGTCAGGGTGTGGTAGGGAGAACCCTCCAAGTAGCTTTAGGACATCCTCGTGTTTTATTTGACTATTGATTTTCGTCTCTGCTGAGCATTGACGTGTGACGCGTGTTAAGGCCTCGTGTTTTAGTTTGGCCCAAAGAGAGGGGGATGGGGGCAGAATCAGAACGATGTCAATCAGCTGACACAATCATCTCTTCCTTCTCGTTCTTAAGGGTACTCCGACCGCCAGGTGGGGACTCCAGCTTCTCCCTGGGTACAGATGATGAATCAACCCCCCAGCGGAAGAACAAGATGGCTTCTAGCATCTTTGCAGAACCCGACGACCCTCATGCTCATCGGAGGAACAACCCACCCAGTAACTTCATCTAAACCCTCTAATCCACCCCAGTTCATTTTGCATGTGACAAATCAGAGCAAAGCGAACCAAAGCTTCTCTGTTTGCTTTGAAAAGATAACTGTAGTTTGAGTTTTACACGCATACAGGGCAGGCTCAGTCTTGCGCGGGCGGAGAGAAGTTGCAGAAGCCTTAAGTAAGCAGAAAGCACCATGGAATTAATTCCCCCGTCCCCGGCTAGGAAAAGATACACACTGCATGCTTATTTGGAGTTTTCTGTTACAGTTGTCAGACTCGACAACATGTGTCGCAGTCAAAACGCTCCAGAGTGCTGGGGAAAGGGTAATTTGAAGCAAGGCTTTGTTAGGTAATTGTAAGATTGGTCCTCAGTGGAAATAGTCGGTCAGTTAAAAAAGAATCACGTGGTGAGATGCATGGCCTCCGACATGATGAGACCAGTGAAAGCAGCAGCGGGGTAGAAACCCATGAGAATTCAAGGTCACAGCCGCCACAGAGGCCTAAATTTGATCTGACATTATTGCCTTCCAGTGTGTTTATATCAAACTGAGCAGAGTTTGAGCCAAACACTCAGTCTTTACTGCGCTTTGGCTCCACTGTTTGTAATAAAGCGTGGGATTCTTTTATCCACCTAATCATTGTTTGGTACGACTTGAATAAAGTGCCCGAAGAGAACATTTTATCTCTACAGCGAAAAATGTTCCAGAGATCACATGTGTCAGCGCTGACCATTTTGTAGAAAGTGTTTACACGGTGTATCAGATACTCTGGGTGTGTGGACAATGAGGAATTTGGCCTAAAATCGTTACTTCAGCCTCTGACCCGTACAGCCAGCTGCTGATTACAGTAAAGCCTTTCCTGTTTGCATTGTTTCACTTGGGGCTGTTTCAATTTCAGGAGAGCTTCTCAGACTTGTCCCACTTTTGTGCGTACAAGTGGACGGAGATGTTAATTTCTTCTGGAATTGTGAAGGATTACCTCAATAGCGTGCTTGTGTTGCACTTTCTGAGCTGCCTGTTAATGAACGTCTGTTCCGCTGGCATACAGAACTGCCTAGATTCCTTAGAAAACAGTCAGATATTTGTTTTATAGACAGAGAAAATCAGTCGGAATTATGTTACGCTCAGTTGGGAACATAGTCTGGTATTAAGTGCTTCAACTACTACTTTTAAAAAACAGTCTCTATTACTATGTGTTTGGATAGGAGGTGCCTGAGAGCTAACGATTAGCGAGAAGGGCTCAAACTTCCACAAATTCCAACTGGAAAACCCTTGTCTGGACATTTTTTGTCCCTCCTGTAACCACAGTCTCCTAAGAGGTCCAGATCAGAAAACACTGCAGTGCAGATACTAAGGCTGCTGGGAGATGGAAGAGAGTTCCCCATCCATGTTTGTAGTTGCTTTGAGTTTCAAAAATCTTTTCTGGGTCTCCCCCTCCATTTCCTTTGTCTTTATTAGTCTTTACTAATTCCTGTGTTCTTTCAATTTGACTGTGGGAATGTGCCTTTACTTTTCCGAGCATGTTGAATATTCAGCTAGGCTTTGGCTGGTTGGTCGGGATATTAAGGAGTTAGTTTGTGTGCCCTCAGATAACAGCCACATGATGAGCACTTGCTACTGAGAGAGGAACCAAAGCCTCAGAATAGCTTTCCCACCAAAGTGTTGTCATGCATTCATGCTATGGACCCAGGAGATCCATGAAGTGAACCAGAAGGCTGTTTTGCACTGATGAAACCTCCATCCTCTCCATCAATCCAGTTTAATCCTCTCGTGTTTCATATTTGTTTTGTACAGGACGTTAAACCAATCAGACTCAGAAGTATTGAGCCAGTAATGAAGGAGCTCTTATTGAGTGATGGGCTCTCAGCAGTGCTGATTCACCGCACTCCATTAACAGCAGTGGCCACGCCTCTGCTTCCTCAGCAGCCGTTGTTCCCCTCATGACAAAGGCTGCCTGTCCACTGCCTGCCCCTCTGGGCAACGGCTTTTACCTTATGTGGCTTTGGGTAGCACAGCCTGCCTCCCCACAGCGAGCCAAGGCAGGGTTTTAATGCTCTTTCTGCAGGCGCTGCAGGGTTTTGTGGCGTTTGGCACTCAGGTTGTCTGCTTGGAAGTCTTCCACTGCAACTGCCCAAGAGGATTTTGGTGATGTTTCCAGTTTTTTTTTTTCACAGAGATTTAGGTATGCGTTATTTCGGTCAGCTTTGCTCATAAAGCTGCTGTTTTGTCAAATCTGAGGAGATGAATCTTGCTGTGGACATAGTTATCTCATGAGCTGGAGACATTAAGGTCCGGGTTGGCTTTGTGGCTAATTGGATTATTGTCCATATGGTATGACTCTGCAGCTTTTTGGCAGCACTCATGACTTATCATTTGTATGTCATGTCCAGCTTCCCCATGACCTGTCTGGCAAATGAAATGCAGAGAAAAAAAAGTGATGTCAGTGAGTACATGATATCCACAGAATTGTAGAGCTTTTTTTTTTTTGTCTGAACCCTCTCAGGCGGGGCACCGACAGGAACCCTGTGCGGGGAGCCATCAGCCCCACTCAGGCGGTGCCAGCAGCCCCTCCTCTTTCCCAAGAACCCTCAGCCGGAACTGACCACCATCCACAACTCCGGAGCCGCCATGGTCTGGAACCAGAGACGAGAGGTACCTGTCATGGATTCCGACAGTCTGTTTCCAAAACAGTGCCCAGGCCTAGTGGGGCTGAAGAGCACACAGTCGTAGATAATTCCGGTTCACTGGAACATGTATTAGCGGATGGGGGGGACTTTTTCCTTCTATTTGAAACCTATCCAGTCTTTTTTTTTCTGATAAAAATCCACTGACTTTGGAAACCTCGTGGAGGTTTCATTTTTATTGTGTTAGTCCTCACTGTCAGATATGGAAGAAGTTTCATAACTGAGTGAATAGTTTTGGGGAGTTATGAGATCACACCAGGGGTGGGGGGGGGGGGGGGGTCCTTCTGTAACAAGAAGCGACCCAGAGAATAACAAGTGATGCCACAGAGTTTTAGAGCGAGCACTCTCATAAACTTTCCCTTGTTTTCGTTGTAGGTTGATAATGGGCAGGAACAAGCAAACGATGGTGAGTATCCCAGCTCTGCTTTAGCTTTACACAAAGGTTACCGACACACTTTATCTGTAAACAGCAGTGCATGACTTAGATTAGTCATTGGAAAGCTCCATGCTGCTCTCCAACAGATCAGGCAGCTCCACCCTTTTTTAAACATACAGTACACAAGTTCCTCTTTTCGAGGTCAACAACACATGACCCTTTGATGTGGTTTTTCCCTGTCGGGATGGTATGACAGGCTGTAGTCAAGCAGCTGCTCGTTGTCGGCAGGCCTCACTTAGAATGAAAGGCTTTTTATGAACCTCCAGATGCACGTTTGTATCAGAGTGGTTGGCTCCTCAGATAATAGGAGGGTTTACCGCACGGTTCAATGAAAATATTGGAATTAAAAAGCAAATCATTGTGCTGCTTTTGAGCATGTGTGGGCACTTGGAAATCTGTCTTCACATGTCTAACGGCCCACCGTAACTATTGTAGATTTGGAACTTTGGCTGCCTGGAGAAGACGGGAACGTGGCGTCTTGCTCATCTCAGAGAAGTCAAATATTTAAACTCTTAGGTCCACATTCACAAAGTCATGCAGTCCTTGTATTGGAGACACTGGTCTTAATAACCTCTGAGGAGCGCAGCTGTTAAAGCAGCCTTCCACTCAGCTGCTGGCAGGTAGATCATATTTAGAGGCTGTGTCTCTTGGAAAAATAGTCCTGCTCTGTGTTCGGACCATCTAAGTTTAAAAGGTTATAAGCTCTTTGGGCTTTTGTCCAATGGCAGTATGTGGTGGTGCTGGTAGATTAATTTGTGGCCAACATTAACAGTGAGGTGACTTAATGCTTTCCAGCATCTATGAGTGGAAAAGTGACAGTGAAGCTTAAGTACAGGTTTTTGTCCTTTCAGTCACATTTCTGAAGCAACATTCCATCTGTGTTGCGCCTGTAGAGTCTCCTGACAACGAGGAGGAGCAGGAGGAGAAGGATCCCTCACAGCCCTCTGCCCCGTCGGGAGCCGCCAACGCCAACGCCGCCGCCAACGCCGGCCGGAGAAACCCCCCCGGTGGCAAGTCCAGCCTCATCCTGGGTTGAGACCACTTGTTTGTTTTGTTTTTTCTTCTTTTGTTTTTCATTCAAACGCTTTTTTATTTTATTTTTTTCAAGATAAACAGCCCCGCCACTCTCTTCCTCATCATCAACATTTCACCGTCTCGTCCCCCTTCCACCTTCCTCCCATGCACTCGTGTCCCCGTCCATGGCCCCCCCTGTCCTCTCCCTCCACCCTTAAACCTTTTGTTTGATCCTTTTTCTATTAAAAGAAGAAAACTGTTGACAAAAGCACTTTATGTATCTTCCACACCCCCACCCAATCATTTCAGCCCATCCTGTAGTGCATTGCGCCTGCTGGGAAAGGCAAGACATCTAGCTTGTCCCTTATTCTCCCCAGTTGTAAATGATAAAAGAAAAAAATAATTAAAAAGATTTGATGCGTGGATTTCTAAATACAATAAAGATTCATATGAATTTGCTGTGGCTGATTTTTGTCTCATCTTTTAAGGAAAGGAATACGTTTTTTATTTTTAAGCAACTGTTTAGTTTTAGGTTAAAAAGTTTTTGTGCACAAATGTCCTGAAGCGAAGTCTGAGTGTTATTTATGTCCGCTGAAATGGAGCCTGAGGACTGCAGCCGTTGAGAGCAAAGACAGGCTCAGGGCTGGAAATCCTCCCAGCCAGTGCTGCTGCTGCTGGTTCTGTCTGAGGAAAACTGCCCTATCTTTTTCATGACATCATACACGGGATATTTGGCTGACTGTGGTGTGTGTTTGATTTAAGATGGGTTTTTTCAGTCCCAAGGTTGGGTTTTTTTAAACAAAAGTCAGATTCAAGAGATGAAAAGTGATCCATGCACGACGTTATTTATGAAACGCGACCTTTAACAACTCTGCTCACGTATTCCTTATTTGGTTTTAGTCCGAGCACGTTACCTTCTTAAGCATCAGAGGGAAAAAACACAAAGTGGATACAGTGAAATTTAACCAGGATCAGACAGAGTTTGTTGGATACAAAAGGACCATGCAGCACCACGCCCTTTCATTTATTTCCTTAATAGATTAAGAGAAAATACTGTAGTGAATTATTGCTTCATATAGTGGACTTTTTGGGGGATATTTTATTTTTTAATCCTTTTTTAATTGTCTTCTTATTGAAAGACATACTAATAACAGGTTAAATATACTTTTCTTCTTCGCTAAGAAAGAAATGTGTCCATTTGTGTAGTCAACAGCATTTAATCTTTGATAGAAATGTAAATTTGACTGGCAAAGATCCATCCATCCATCTTATACAGCCCTTTCGTCAGCTTAGAAAGGTTTCAGGGCCAAACACACTCACATTTATGGTACATTTCCACTGATTGAAATTTCACACCGCCGTTATACAAACAATAGCGCTGCCAGCTCTTGTGTTTTTGCCCTTTAAAATTGCATCCTTTTCAATGAGATGTATGCACAAGTTAGAATGAGACTGAAGTCCAGCTGTACCTTAATAAATCTAATACAAATGGTAATAATTTCATTTAAAAATAACACCTGTATCAAGGCCACAAGGTCTAAGGAAATGCCCAGAGACAGGACTGTTAAAGGTGTAGAGTGCTCAGATAGAAGCCTCTGTCAATAAAAAGCATGTGAATGGCACCTCAGGACACACAAAGTCCTTTCTTCAGATTAAAAAAGGATTAAATTGCTGCAACAATTTCCTAAAGAGGTTACCAGGCTAAGAGCTTAATTGCTAACGTCTCCACAGTCAGACATGATGGTGGCAGCATCATGGTGTGAATGTTTTTTTTTTCTTGAAAAGAATTGTGTGTTGACTGGTGGGAAAAACAAGTTTTGCATCAGAGGATCTGAAGCACGTGTCAGGCTCGGCTGATGTTAACTGGGGATGGAAAAAGGTCAACCAAGCAAAGACAAAAACAACACTTCATGCCTCTTTCTGTTTGTCCTTTGTATAGATAAACCCATCTGTCATTCAGAAAAAATATCAAACTTCAGGCACTCAGTAGCTGTGCAGATATGGTAGATGACCACTGCAAAGCCGATACATATGCCAGTCATTTTCAGCAGTGTATTAGAATAGCTTTAGATTTAAGTACATGTGACAATCCGGCTTTATGGAATTAAGTTATCTTTTCTTTAGGCAATGATTGATTTGAAAGGCGGTGTACTGTTGACTTGATGACTCTTTGTAAGCCTCTTACTGGGAAGCTCAAGATGAGATGTCTAGAAGGCAGATCCCTCTCTTCAGATTAGTCATGATAAAGCTCAGCTTTGGTGATTTGAATTTTTTGTTTTAAAAAACAGCCTGTATGTTGATTTGAATGACAGGAATGCATAATTTTACCTGCTTAGCGCCTGATCTTTGTGTCCTGTTAGCCTTCACATAGTGAAGATTCCTGCCATGTTATAACTACGGTGTTCACACTCTATCTGAACAAGTCTCAAATCAAACTTGCTGTCAATAGATCCTCAGTGTGTCACCTCCTCGTGAGCTAAAACTCAAACTCCTTCAGGCCCAGCTGAGAGCAGCTTAAAGCCGCGGAACAGCGGCATGGTTCAGCTCTCATCTGCTAAGAAAGGCATGCATGGGTCACTCAGGACCAGGAAAAGAACTTCCTGCCCTGGAGAAATGCCAGGGTGCTAGAGTGCACTCAATAAAGGCTTGTTTTCCATAAGTGCAGTTCTCACAGGGAAAGTCCTGTTCCCTTTATTAGAGTCAGCCTGGATCTCTGGTGCTTTCCTCTATCTCCTTCTGATACACACATGACCCATGATTAGATACTATTATACACATATATTAGCCATACAACACTTTTTTTTATTGGTGTGTTAGTCAGGTGTGTTCTTTTTAAAGAGTAGTGTTGCCACTCTTGCTTGGATAAAATGCTTCATTACTTCTTCCACCCATCTAATGTAATGTTTTCAAACATAAAGACTGTTAGGAAACACATGCTCGGTGTGACTGATTTTGCAGTGGTAGCCACATGCAGAGCTCTAGTTGCTCTTTTGTCCTGGTGAAGAGCTAATCGGTCGTACTGAAAACGGACTCTCTCGTCCATCCGCCTTGATCATCCTACTAATCTTTCTACAAAGACAGGAGATTACCATTTTCCTCCCCCACAGCCATATGCCGAGTCATTTAACGGATGTCTGAGATGAATGCTGGAGCATCCTTGCTCATTTGAGACTTCGGTCTGCTGACAGGGCCATTTGTACCATGTGCTGTCCAGATGAGGCCATCTGTGTGTCGTGAGGTCTCTGAGGAGGAAGAGGATTTGCGAGCGTGGATGTGAACAGGGGAAACAGGCTAAGTCATCAAGTGACATGGCAACATTCATTCAATCAATAGCTCCATTTAGACATCTGCTCTGACTCTGCTGCTACTCTGAGCCGTCTCTGGAGAAAAAACGATTGGCTTAAAATCAAGCAGGAAAATGGCAGGATATAAAAAAGTAGTCTTTTTTCTGTGGTCTTCCTGTCCTTCCCACGACCAGAGACAAATTATCCTTATTATCTGGCTGGATAATAATGTGATGCGACCCACCCAAAACCAAAACAGGAAGCATAAGAGTTGTAAATGGACAGGGCTGTTTCCGACGCAGCAAAGGAAACACAAAAGCACTTTCTGCTGCATCTCCTCCTGCTCATAATGTGCTTTGTTAATCAGAGGACACTGGAGTTTGCGATGAAGACAAGAAGGATGGAATGGTTTGGGACTTTTTGCTTTTGCTCTGTCTCAGATGGATGCAGACAGAGCGTGTGTGAGTGTGTGTTTTCCATCTTAGAAAGCTGGGGGTGTCTGTTATGTGGTTTGGATAAATGTAGCAGTGCGATTATAAGATTTCAAAGCCTTTTACTTTTTTTGATAAGCAAATTAACCATATGTTGTAT